GCAAGGAGTACGGAGTATGGCAGGTAGGTAGGTAGAAGAGGATGATTTCACAAAACGGGACGAGGACTTGGAGGAGGAACCTAACGGTGGAATCGATGTATGGGTCAATAGTCTCCGTACGGTTTGATGTATGGGGTAATTCACCGTTCCATGGACATGCCTTGGGTACTCGTGGTCACAGTTCACACACGTAGACCAACTCGACGACAGCTGAGAGGCAGGTGCGGGCTATGCAGAAGGTTAATTGGCAGTCTCGCAAGAATACTGTGTAGACTTAGAGGCAGGAGCAGGTTGAGGCAAGGTAAGGTAAGGTATCCGTGGCAGGAAATCCGTAATTGTCCTGATGTGCGTCTCAATGCTCTGGTGGAGTGTCACGGTACCTTCGTGTGTGTGTGGTGGGCGGTTTTACTGTTCTGTTGCGGGAGGTGGGTTTTGGAGGCGAGCTAAGGCGTGAGCTAAGGCATGCAGGTACGTATCGAGTGGGGTGGTCGGGTGTCACTCCCCGGGAGGGAAGGGAAGGTCTGGAAAGCTTGGGGGAAGGCAGGAGGGCACAGGGAAGAAAAGGACCATTGGCATATCGAGAGCGGAGAGCACGAGACTGAACGTCACGGCAAGGTCGGTGTTCAACCTTCAACCACAGGTAAAGGGACACGTCCGTATTCTAATTCAGAGTTTAACAACGTATCTCGGTTTTTTCCGATACAGATACCTCTGAAATTCGAGGCTTCCGTGAATAAGCGGTTATTCCAGACCAGAGCATCTACCTACAGTATGTTGAGCCCCCCCCCCCCCCTTCTTTCCCGTGCCATGGCGAAGCTAGCACCCGAGTGCACTTTTTTTTCTTTATTCGCATAGGGAAACAGCACATTGCGACGACTAACTAGGTACTATGTGTCCGTATACTGATTACTCGTTTGCCAATAGTTCAGTCCCTCTCCCATTCGGCCATGCATGCTCCGTACGTTCCTTGCGACTAGGAATCTGGGACACGAAAAAACATGGTAAACCGCTGGGGATTATGGTTGCAAGGGTGGACCAGAAAATCGAAATGGAAGGGACCACACTCAACCGCCGAGGGGCGAGGGGGTCGGGTGGGAAGTGGCCCCACTATCTCAGGTTCGAGAATGGAAAGAGATTTGAGGCGGGGTATCATCCATACGTACGGACACTTGGGTAGGTACCTTCCAGAATCCAGAGTGACCAGGCCATGGCCATGCGGAAGGGATGCTGGAAACCACTTCAGGTTGTGAAGGCTACCTTGAGGTAAGGTAAGGTAGACACAAGACTTTGGCATCCAAGGAAATGTGCCTTTGAGATGTGCTCGCCATTTGACATTGGCCGGAGTAATCTTCACATCAAGCATGGAAAGTGTTTTCTCACTTCTGCAGCAACCTTGCTAGATTGGGACAGATCAAGGTAGCATGAGCAGTCGAGTGCCTAGAGCAGGGCCTGGATCGTGGCAGGTGCATTCACTAATGCACACCCCGTCTTCGAACCACAAGATTGCTAGTTTTCTCGGCGGTTTGTTGGCTGTTGGAGACTCGGAGATGGCGTTTAGCCACCGCCAGGCTGGTTGGCACCTGCAACCCGCACCGTCGAATCTGCAGTTCAGTAAGGTATCCGTACCAATCTGTCGAAATCCCATTCCTATTGCACCCTACCTACCTTGGTCATGGAGCCTGGCGGGGAGAGCGATTGCAGCCGGCTGCAGCGCTGCACGAGGTAGTGGAGGCAATTATGATTTATCCGTATGGATATTTACGATGGTCTACCTAACTCGTAGGACGGCGCAATCAAGTATCTTTCTGCCCCGTACTAAGGTAGTCTTCCACTCCTCCTAACCCAAGTCCTGAAATCCAAAAGCCATTGAATTGATATGAAGGGAGTCAAGGGGGGTCCAATGTGGGGAGGTCTCGAATTGCGTGTCACTCTCAGCAACTTGGCCAGTGGAGGCACCAAATCCGAGGGAGGAGGCTCAGGTACGTACAGCATAACGGGTACGGACAAGCCCCTTGCTCAACGTACCTTATGGTTATATGGAAGGTACCTACCTCACTGTCAACTCTGGCCAAGCTGAGAAAGAGCATGATCAGCCAGGTAGACAAGCGTGACAAGCTACGTAGAGAAGGTAGTAGAGGCAGTTGCGGCCCTTTTACGGTATCATCCTTCCTCCCGGTTCGCGCAGCCCAATGGCTTCCTGAGACAATATCACAGCATCGGGGCAGGCAAGAACGATCCATTTTGACTGCAAGGCAGGAGCAAAAGGGTCTGGACCAGGCAAGCCACGTGCCTCAACCCGGCAGCATCTTGCCACTCTCGTCTCTGGAATTGTTTGCCAACGACTCGGACTTGGTGTCAACCAAGATGCAAAGATGCAATATTGCCTGCGAAATTCCCTATCTGATGAATTTTTCCGTCCCCTCATCGGCCAAGGAAGCTCCCATATTGCCAGATGAACCCAGTCACACCACCCATTCGACATTTCAGGCGACAATTGCCATTGGCTATCCGTCAACTATTCTCATCGAGCCTGCTGCAATCGACTACGGAGTATCCGTACATACCTACGGATACCTACCTGCACAGACAGGTATTCGACATCAGAAGCCTCCCCGGGCCGCCCCAGGAATTATGTCAACGGATTATAACCGTCCAAGCCGCCCTTCTTGATTCCTGCCTCGAGCCTGGGTCGAAGCCAGTCGAGACCAAGCCGTTGGGCCAATGATATCTACAAAAAAAAACGCCTTTACCGTTTCCCGACATGTTTGGTTTCTCCAGACCTTTCTCCAGAGCCCACATGTCCGTCCCTCGTGGGCCGGCACCACTCCTCACAGTCTCACACACTTGCCGTTACAATTGGGGTCTCTTCCCGTCTTTGATGGGCTGCCGCGTCGACCACATTTTCGGCATCGTGTCGCGGGACACGTCGATTCAACACCACTCATACAAATAATGCGCTATCTACGTATATCCGCGCTCTTCCGTCAAAAATTCTGGCCAACCCTAGCGCTGGCTTTTCTTTCGCGCCGCTTGTTGAGTCCGTCCAATCATCCGTCCCGCTTGTCGCTCTTCTCCCCTACCGGTTTGAGACCAGTGACCTGCCAGCCAGTCAGTCTCAAGATGTCCCGCAGTCCACACCATCAGTGAGCTGGGATCCAGGAACACGACCAAGATCTCACCCATACACCGTGCCACCACCCACACGGAGTAAAGGCTGTGCTAAATCGAGCCGGGCGTGACGGGGTCGTTGGGGACTGGATGGGACCACACCAGTCTCCTGTTCCAACCCTGGAGATCCACTGTTTTCTGCAGCGCTACTTTGAGGGTCCAACTGGCAAACAACTGGGCACATCGGAGGTCCTGTCCGGGCTCAGTTCCTCTTTTTCCCTGGCTTCCGCTTTCGTCGTGTCTGTACTTTGTCCAACAGAGTCAAAAGATTACAAGTGACGGTGGCTTGGGGCAGACTAGACAATTCCCGAGCTTCCTAGGTCAAGCTGGAGAGGGCCTGACTCCGGCTCACCATCGCGACTGAAATTTAGCGTTAGGCAGTACGCATTGCGGGAGGAACTTGAATAGCCCAGCTCTCGCCTCCGATGCCATTTGCTTCACACTCACTCAACAGTTCCTCAAAGCTCTCCAGGTACCATTTGTAGTGCCTTGGGTCACTCTCGGGAGGTTGATGCTGGTGTCACATTAAACTTACCTTGGTCGATATGACTTCATACACAGAAGGGAGTTGCATCATTCGACTCATCTATACCAATATTGCAAATGGCGAAGAAAGATGGGCATTGATTGCTTGAGGATAACTCGACCTCACGTGTACGACTGTAGTAGGTAACTACGCAAGCAAAACCAGGCTCTAATAGCAGACGATGAAGTGGTCCCAGCCGCCGCCAGTGGCCCAGACCTTTCCACGCCTCCGTAGCCCACGCTGCGAGCAACAAGCGCAAGTAGGTATCCCTACCTACTCTCGACATGTCGCAGTCTGCCCGACTGATGTGCAGCGTAAAGTTACCATGGCCTTCAAGTGCAAGCCGAACCCCACACTCTGCCCATTGGTCATGCCGCCTGCGGATGCGGCTCTGTGGTCTCACGACTGAGAGGACAACGCTCCCAAGTCGATATCGATGACAACAAGTGCATGGCCCGGACAAGCTGCCCTTCTCTTTTTCTACTCTTGGCGCTTGTGTCGCCGCATTGGATCATTCGGCCGTGCTCAGCGTTGTTGCCTCGCCTCATGTGAAGGATCGGGCCAACTCCAGCCAAGACGCCGTTTCCATGTTGCTCCAAACCGCCTTCGCCGACCATCCGTCCACGTCTTCATTTGATTCACACCGGGCCTTGTACAAACTTTGTTTTCGCCCTAGATCACTTGACACGAGCTGGACAGCTGTTCACGAGGGGTGATCCCGGGCTGTCCCGGCCGTCGTATCTACTGTGTATGGAGTACTGTGTAGAGGAGATTGCCAACCACCCCAGCCAGGTGCTTTATGCGTTTTGACGAATCAGTCTCTCACAGTGTTCCTGACCTCGACGACTGAACGTCTGTCAATCTCATTGCCGATGAAGCTCAATACGTTGACGGATAGCAGTGGTTGGACAGCATTACTAGCCTACCAACAGTCTACAACAGCATGCACGAACTATCCCGATCCGATATCAGGTGCCTCGGTCACGAAGCACGTATTCGAGATAGCCTACTGCTCAAATGTTGCTTCATTGTCTTTCGTTGATCGACTTCAAGACCGCGTCGATTGTATGGGAAATGAGATGGACGCTTTCTCCGTTTTAACTTGGCCGTTCTGATGGCGACCGTTTCAGTCCCGTCACCAATCGTTCCCAGATGATAGATCCCTGGGCTCGCCGTCGACTGGAACTCTGGGGGTGCTTTATCTCATGCATTGCCGCTTAGCGGATCGTCTGTCTGGGACATGTCGCTCTCTGAGCTCGTATTAGCGCTGCAGATCCCTCAACTCGCAACTTTCAAGCAGTGCCAACGTAATTACCAGCCTGACCTTACCATCGGCGCCCGGCCTCTGTCACCGACGGGACACCAAACAATGCAGCAACATGGGGCGCCCGTCTGTCTGCCAGTGGGCAGTGGCCCAGTGCCAGCACCGGAGCCAGTGCAGTCTCACCGTCTCAGTCATCGCGCACTGGGAGAGTCGCTGCATCGCTGAAGTTTCCCTCGACTGCGCCTCAATCTTTCGCCAATTTTGGTCCACTGCTGCTGGGATCAAGCCGGCGGTCCGGCAGAGACTCCCATGCCTGGCCCTTCTTCACGCCATTCCAACTGCCCTGCGCTGATGTTTGGAAACTCACGAGTGGCATAAACGATTCCCCATGACGAGGCCACAGAGGCCCATGCCCTTTTGACCTCAGGCGTATCGCAGCACTCACATCTTAGCGCGTCTACCATCCCAAACACGCCACTGACAGCCGCGTCTTTCATTAGCTATACGTTTGTTACGAGCCGTTGAAGCCTGCGGCAACAAGATACCTACAACAAAGGCGGCAGCACTATAGTAACTTTTGGTGACGAAGGGACCTCCTCCACTGTAGTGGCATGACGACATTTTGGCCTTCAGCCCAGTTGCCCGTATCATCAGTCATCCATTCCAACGTCGTATGGGATTCGAGAGCTCGGAAGTTAGAACCTGCACCCCTGATGCTCACAAACCACAACCTTCAGCCTCACCACCAATCATCAAGTCGGAAATGACATCACACTCTTTCCCTTCGGCCTTTCTCGACCATTGGATTCACTCTCTGAAATCGAGTCGTGGAGAACAGCTCAACGACTTCCCAAACTACTACGTTTCTCATCCCGAGAGCTTGGTGACAACATGTAGCCCCAAGTCTCTCACCGTCGGCAACGGCGCCAGCATCTACAGAAACGCTCTCCTGCCGGCTATACTTGGTGCGAAACACGAGGTGATTTTGGTTACGTGCTTCTGGGCTCCGTCCGATACCTTGAGTGCCGTCAAAGAAACCCTGGAACTCCTTGCCGAGCGACGCAGAGAAGCCATCGAAACGACCGGCCAAGATGCCGTCACCCCATTACGCGTCCGCATCTGTTTTTCGTCGCGTAGCTTCTTCCAGAAGATATTCCATCCGTGGTCGCGAGACGGATACGCGTACCCAACCTCAGCGTGGCCAAAGCTCGGATTGCCCCCAGACAGCAGCCTCAGGGCGGCCCGCATCGATCTTACCGTCAAGAGCCTGTTCTTCTTGCCCTTCAGCGTCATGCATCCAAAGTTTGTCATCGTCGACCGCCAGCGCGCTTGGATGCCCAGTTGTAACGTGAGCTGGGAGACGTGGTTCGAAGGCTGTATTGGGTTCGAGGGTGCAGCCGTTGCTCAACTCGTCAAATTCTATAACAATGTGTGGGAGCCCGCCGCCGGCGCGCGAGAGATCCCCGACGACCAAGATGACGGTGGTCGTGAGGCGAACCAGGGGCTAGGTCAAGTCGATCAAGACACTGGCCGAACTGTTCCATCTCGCGGTCCACCTTCGGACGACGAGACCGCGTGTCGACGGCTTAGCCTCGCAAGTCTCCCGCCCTGTCCGACTCTGATCTTACCCTCATCTCATCACTGGTACCTGGGCTTCCGCTTCGTCCCTGTTTGGCGGCGCACTACCGCTCCTACCACACCTCTCAATGCGGCTCTGCTGTCTTTGTTCGCTTGTGCCCGAACCGACATTGATATCGTGACGCCGAACCTGACTTGCCGAGCAGTCGTCGATGCGCTCCTCGATGCACTTCGTCGCGGTGTCAGCGTCCGCATCAGGACAAGCAAGAACATGATGTTAATCGAACAACTCGTCACGGCTTGCACCACGACGGAATGGACCCTCAATTCACTCGTCAAGCGATACGCCCAAGCTTGCGCAGAGTGGAACCGGAAACGCTCGGTAGACGCCGAGTCGCATTTGCAACGGCCAGGCCGCCTCGACATCTACTACTACCGCCCGAACCTGCAGGCGACGGCGGTGCGGGATCCAGAGGAGCCGGTCGTGTCGCACTTGAAGATGACGCTCGTTGACAAGGAGTTCCTCTTGCTGGGCTCAGGCAACCTGGACCGGGCCAGTTGGTACACGAGTCAGGAACTGGGCATCCTGCTTCATATACCAGACTTTCAGTCCGACATCTGGTCTGAATCTCTCGAGTCCAGGATCGAGGTCCGATTTAGCGGCGAGCCCGGCGATGGGATGATGGGCTAGTCAGTCGCTTGTTTGCATACATACAACGTGTGTGCCTCTCATTCTGCCTCGTCTTTAGAATCCTACTTTAAATACCCGCGCCCTGTAATGTTTACTGATTCATGACCAACAGTGCCAAGCGTGTCTCCTCCGTCTCACTTCTAGGGCATCATACGGCGGGGATCATTTCGTCTTCACGACGAGCAGTCCAGAGAATGGCCCTGAGAATCTGTCCAACGAACCATGTGTCCTCGTACGCCTCTTCATAGTGGCCCAGGGCCGTATAGAACGATCTTCCACCGTCGAACTCTTGACACCATACGAGCGGGTGATCATCCCCCATAGAACCGCCATTGAAGCTTGTCGGGTCGCCCCGAGCCAGGATGTGGAGGTTTTCGTTGCTTCTAGGATGCGACAGAAAGTTATACCACTCGTCCGTCCACTGTTTCCGAACACCGTCGCACGCCTCCGTCGGATGGTTTCCGCCTCCACGGCGCATTATGAAATGCCCCGGATCTTCAATGACACAGGTGCCCTCCTCAGGCGGCGGATGCTGGTCAAAATGCGCGCCGACCAGCTTGCCATACCACTCATCCTCCCTCAATCCCGATGCGGCGGCGTGCACCCCCACGAATCCGCCGCCCGAGTTCACGTGTCCTTTCAAAGCCGAGAGTTGTTCAACATTGAGAAACGTTCCCGTGCAGTGAAGGAACACGATGGTTGCGTACGTTGCTAGGGATCGAGGATTGATAGAGGCCTCGGCGTCCTCGCTGCGATCGACGGTGAAGAGTCCCGTGCGCTCGCCCAGGGCCTTCACGGCAGAGACAGCAGCTGAGATGCAATCATGTCGATAGCCAGAGGTCTTGCTGAAAGCCAAAACGCGGAAAGGCTGTCTTGTCGGCTTCAAGTTGGGCGTCATTGCTAATTGAGGTGACGGGTGTCGTCAGAGGAGGATCGTGATGATGGTGGGGTGTGATTTGGCGGGGTCGGTGGGGTCTTTTCCTGCTGACGCTTCTTAGCCCTCAACATTTTCGACAATCTTCCATCACCGGCTGTGTGTTCTAGTGGTCATGATTTCTCGTTCACATCTATGTGCACAAGATCCCGAGAAGGTCGCAGGTTCGAGCCCTGCCGCGGTCATAGCAACTATTCTTTTGATTTTTGCCCATGATGAATGCTAAACTCACCTCAACTTGCCTCAAATGGAGTCTTTCTCGGTATTCTAGCCGGAATCGAAGGTTAGGTGCCTGTATCGTCGATGCGGTCAAGGGCAAAGTAAGTGTCCGATATCAGTAGACTAGAATTATGAGGAATTTGAGGTCGAGAGGTTCTTCGGCGATTAACCGACACACAGGGATTCGACAAGATTTACTTATTATTTTGTAGATGCTCATGTTCAGGACGTTTGTGTATTTCTAATCAACAAACTCGTCTTCCTGACAAATGTCTCGGGATCTGCTCCGGGACTCCTTCCGTCTCCGGATGATGATCAACATCTTGTCCACCATAGAGTCAAAGTGGGAGTCCACGCCGCTAATTTACCTCTCCCTCTTACATTTTCGCAGAGCCGGTTTACTCATGCTACGCAGGAAGCCGGTTCGCCGACGCCAAGATCAGCCGCGGCAAGCAGGTACTCCATGAAGCCAGCATTTGTCTCTAGCAGGTTCAAGTTGTACTGGCTGGGCGTTGGGTAGAAGGGGCAGTCCACCCCATCATTACCAAAGCCAAATTCAACCACAAATCCGTGCATCTTACCAAGCGAGGGGTCCGTCAAGTGACGCGAGTATGCGTAGTCATCACTTGAACCCGAAGTTGGGTACAGGTATGAGCTCTGCTCAACCTGGTAGTGGCGGCCGGTGGCGGCGTCCATGGCGTTACCCATTCGCATCGCAGCGAAGACCTTCTCCGACCAGTCGTTGCTGGGGATGTACTCGCCGTAGACGCCATTGTTGGACGGCGTATCCGGCATCAGACCGCGGGCGGCATCGTACGACTCGTTCATGAAGTTCATATACGGCTGGCGCAACTGGTTCTCGTCGCTGCCCCAGTTGTACAGGATAACGCCGATGTAGCTATGGATGTCGAGGAACCACTTGACATTCTTGTGCTGGTCCATCACCCACTTGATGCTCTTCGACTCGGGCTCCGAGAACGCCGCGGCGCCGTGGTACGTCTGTTCAGTCGGGTCTTCCGAAGCGACGTTGGGCCCGACGCTGGGCGCGAAACTCTTGGGGAAGTCAAACAGAAAGTCGAAATTGCGGTTCAGGTCGATGCCAATGGCTTCCGGATTGCCCCCCGAGGCGGCCGGGTTGCGGTTCTTACGCCAGCAGCTGTGTGTGGCTTGGTCATATGCCACGCCGTCAGGGTTGCTCAACGGCGTGAAGACAATACCGGTTGACAGGGCGCGCTTCACGTCGTCATTGGTGTACACCCGACCGCCATACGTCAACCCTTCGCCGTGCTTGTTCGCGTATAGGAGGTCGGAGATGAAGTAAATAATGTTATCCGATGACCCGCGCTCGCGGGCATGAATGGCGGCGTTGAAGTACACGTGGTGCGCATCGCTGCAGTTCCCGCCTTCGCCACCGATCTTAGCACCGAAGAAAGAGGCATTCTCATACGTCTTGTACGGCGACTCAAAGTACTCAAGGTCATACTCCTCGACGAGGCCTTTGACGGCGCTCTTGATCTCGTTGACGTTGAGGAGGGAGGTAAGATTCGTTCCGGCGGGCTGGGTGCCGAGGCCACGGGGGACTTTCTTGCCGCCGTCGAAGCGGTCGCCTGTGCCGATGGCGATTCCCGTGTTGTTGGGGTTCGCGTTTTGGCGGCGGGCGATGCGGCCACCGGAGGCTTCTCCGGGGAGAAGACAGGCTTCACCCAGAAGGGCGAGCGAGAGGAGAGCGCAGGCTTGTGTGGTCTTCATGATGATGTCTTTTAACACGAGCCAGCGGGTTTGGAGTGAAGGATGGCCGTCGATGAGGAGCAGGAGAAGGCCAAGAACGCCGAGTTGCGTCGCCCATGAGGGTGATTGGCACTGGCATCATATATGACAGAAGTGCCAAGGGGTCATTCTCATTCTCGTTTGCCCTGCTCCGCCCGAACCATGCTGTAAGCATACGGCTGCTGCACAATGATGAGCGCGAAGACGCTGGTCACTGGGGTCCTGGGTCTGGACTTTGCACCCCCGCCTCGTGGCCTGCCGCCTGCAGCTTGGTTCATGATGGTCCTCTCCGTCGGCGTCCTGCCTCCGCTTCGTATCCTGGAGCTAGCGCGAGCCTACTGGCTCGACAGGCTGGGAGATAAGCTCATTGGAGCTTGACAAGTTGATGCCAGTCAGTACAAATTGAGGATTTTAAGAGTAGCTGAACAGGGAAGCTGGCAATCAGAGAAGACACTTACACTCAACTTTCTTGTGATGAAGGACCCATCGATCCAGTGCTGCAAAAACTATCTGCCTTCCACCCTCGACCATGGGCAGCAACAAATCAAGTCGCACCCTAGGATTGGTTGATTCAAATTGCTCTGCGCAGATATTCTTTCTGCGCCGGTGGACTCATTAAGTGCCTTACAAGTCTTGGCAAGGTCCTTTTGCAGAAGACCAAGACGCGACTCAAGCAGGGAGCTTATGCTTGGAGCCTTCGGCTCTTTGGAGATGGTTGATTCGCTTGGTTCCCACTCGTCTGTACGGATCAATCACACCGGTACAACCTTGAAATGCGGGTTGTGGATCCGGGATCCGGCCACTTAATATTTTTCGCTGATTCTTTGTGTCCGTTGAAATGTTAGAGATCCTGGGTTAGGACAGTAGCAGGGTCTTGACCTTTGAGTCCCGGGAGCGGAAGGGCCATCACTCGCGGGGGATTTTGGCCCGATCCAGCAGGTCAATGTAACCCCCGGAGATTAGCGGCTCAAGGCGGTCCGCCCTGATGTCAACTCTGCCCAATCATATTTTGGCTTCGTTCTCCAAGTTCCAGAGGATGGGTTACTGAGTCTGCCCATGCTCGTGTCGGCCGCGGCAGCGATACGGGCACTGCCGTTTTCCCTCCGTACAAGTTATCTACCGCCCAATGGGAGCGCGGCTATTAAACTCAGACAATGGAAAACATACACGCAGTTAGATTGAGATGCCCTGCCAGGATTGTAAGGATATTAACCTGCCGCCTACAAGCCTTGATATGCGTCTGAGCATTATTGCGCGAAAGTCTAAGAGCTAGTTCTACACCTGGACTCTTGGTCAAGATCAATGGCAGCTTTTACTCGTCTAGCCGAACGATAAGCTCATCTTGCTGTGATGCTGTGAGTAAACGATATATGAGATGAGCCCTTTTGCTTTGCATCCTAGGGTATTATACTTGACATAAACTGGCGGTAGGCAACACCCCTGCAGCTTCTTGAACTTCGTGAGGCTGTTTTATCAACCATCAATGCTTTCCCGCCCATCCCGTAGTAATTACGTGCCCCATCGGCATGAAGCACTATTCTTCGCACTCAATTGAGACGCAGATTTTCAATACCGTCAAGGCAATCGGGTGATTCTACTTTTCTCACAGCTCTGCACTGGGTCGCCTATGTGTCTGATTTTTAAACATCATTTTCTTAGGCAGTGTCGAACCTTTACTCCAGCAGGATGAGTCTTGGTCCTAGCATGTGCAATATTATGGTCACAACACCCTCGCATCATCTGATGCCAGCCTGCTCGGAATCATCACCATCGGTAGCGGAAGTTGTGAGGTGGCAAAACTAGCGCATGACCGGCAACCTTGACGAGCTCACGCACTACAATTCACGCTACCTTACTTTGTATAGAGACATGGTCGGGTTCAAGCGGTAGCGGGTTTCTGGGATGACAGTGTGAAGATCCAAGGAGTCATGGCCGCAGACGAGCTCTGTTGTGTTATCAGATGTTGAAGTCGCAGTCTGGGTGTCATTACTGGGAAAGTCTATGCATTAAAATTGGCCGGAATGTATCGTTATGATTGCTCGTTACCTATTCTGTGTAGATTTAGAGTTAGAGCCGATAGTGATGCCAAACACGAACGTCTCTCTCGGTGCTTCCTGTGCCTATGTACCTTCAGTTACGGACGACTAAGAAGACCATTGTCTTCCTCGACAACTCCGTTCCTATGTCTTGGCTGAAAGTTTGGTCCAACTCGCTCCTGAAAGTCTGGCGGCGGCCTAATCATCTATCTGCTTCAGTCTCAACCTGGAACCTCGATGATCAGCATCTTCATCCTTACTGATATGTCAAAGGCCGGGGTGCAGGTTTTCAACAACTACTGAGGTTTTGCAGTGGCTTACCTTTGTAGCAGTGTCACATGGATGGAATAGTATATCAATCATGATTAAAAACCTCGGTGGGATCCAGCAGTGTGCTGACAAACCTCTGTACGGCCTCGGCTGTAAAGGGCTGAGTTCATGGGAAGGTCGTGAATCTCATCCATCGCGAAATCGGGCATCCTTAGGGTTACGGCCTCGTTTACAAATTAATGAAGAATCTTAGTGGAATGATGCGTCATCGAGAATACAAAAGTCACCTTGTTACCCATCGAATGCTGGCTCAGGATATGACAAAATCCAGGCCTGGCTATGTTATCTTGGCACATCCCGCTGGCATTAGAAGAGTAAACTGCCGTGTCATGTTTACGAGAAATTCTCAAGATATCTATCGCATTTGTCATAAAGGCAGTCAGGGTCATTGGCGAGAATGTCGAGAATTCTTACCCTCTGCATCATTTGCGTTTGAGTATTGGCAGTGGGACTTTATATTCCTTCCTCTTCGAAGAGCTTTAGAGGCGAGAGCTTTACATGGCATTTGAACAGAGGTTGACGTCTCGCGTTGTGGCACGACCGAATCCACAAATTCTTGACGCCTGTAATATCTGGCCAGGTCCATACGACGTGCCTAATTGAGAGGGCCTATCGGAGTAGAGCGGTGGGCTTTTCGGTTTTGAAGTTAGACCTGCGGCACAGCACCCCGCCATGGCCGCGATATCCGACTCTACCGAGACGAATATTTTGTTGGGCAAAATTTGTCGCGTGTTCTTTTCTTACCCAATGTACGAGAAGACGCGACACGAGGGTTCAAAATCGTCTCATCTCTTCGCCGATATTCAAACATCACGAAACCGAACAAAGTTTCAGTCCTCACATCTACCCAATGATGGCTTCCCTCTCAATGCAGCCACTTTTCTACGCTCAACCGCGACTAGGGAGACTCGCCATGGCACCTCTGCTGCTGCGTCTATCATGGCTCAGGTCTTCTCGAGCCTTGACATCAAGATGTATACGAAGGCGCTCGGATCCTGATTTTAGCAAGATACATCAAGATAAACGTCTCTATAACGGAGTCATTAGTCCTGGCGAGACACTGCGGCATTGGGACTGGGGCGACAGCAATGATTTCCTTGTTCACGGCATCCGACACCACGAAAGTTTTGCCAAATCGGCAGAAGTGACCGATATCTGCAAGATATATGATAGATATGCCAGGGCCCGCAACGCACGTCTCATCATGAGCAATATGATTCCAGACATGGCGTACCAGGCAGTGGTACCTTATTGCATTTGGTATCCTGATGTTGCTACTGAGGATACCTATCGAAAGCTTTATCGCCGCTACCCAGAGATGCGTTATCACATTGGACGAGCTTGCGCCGTCGCAGGATATGGGGAGCTATACAACGAATTAGACCTGCTACCGGATGTCTCCATTGCTGAGGAAGCTCGCGATAACGGCAAACTCGATATTTTTGAGCATATCATGAGCCAATCTGTGAGATATGCTGTCATGAACGATTACCAGCGATCTGTTGATCTGCAAAACCCACGACCAGGGGCTTATCTCAATGGGGATACCGCTGTTCGATCCTCCTTGGAACTTCATCGACCGTTGACAGTTATCGGAGGCCCCTCGAAGTGGAATCCCAACTTGGAAAAATGGCCCTCTCACTACTTCGATATTCAAGAGGACTCCAACATCAGCGGTTGTCCTTCGCCAGGGCCTCGTCTCTCAAAGCTACAAGGCGAGTACATCGCTCTGCTTCACACCCCACTCCCAGAAGATTTGCCTCCTACCAATAAGGACATTTTGATTCTCATGGCTGCCTGGGACGGCAGTATTGAGCGTTACTTTCGCCTCAGACGGCCAATCACAGTTCCGAATGAGATCACGGCCGTTGTTCGCGGTGCCTATCATCACACACCATTTGCGCGATGGCTCGAATCATGCGTTGACGAACTTTTCCCACGGCAGTATGAAAACAAACTTATTAGGCAGGCATGCCATGCGCGTTTTATCATGAACGACGATCTATCCCGCATCTATAGCGAAATCGACGGCGAAATCCTTCCGGAGCTATTCTGGTGGCCTCACTGCCCAAATTCAGACACCTTGCGCGAGCTGGCATGGCGCCGACCTGACCTAAAACACCAGGTCATACTCGCATGCATAGTTGGAGACTACCAGGATCTTTTTCTTGAGCTTTTTGACGGGATGAGGCCAACACAGGAACAGTGGGAAGCCGCACTTCATTCTTACAACGAGTTCTATAAGGAGACGATCGAACTGCGTGCGAAAGAAGAGGGTCTTGAATTCCATAAGAAAGGCGAATGGAGCAAGGAATATCTACGCCCGACTAAGGAGCTCTATAGGGGTAATTATAAATTGGGACTGACGAAAGAGATCTTCAATGAGCCTGATCAACACTGCGAAGACTGGCATGCCTGGAACATGCCTGAGGATAACCTGTTCAATTTTCACATGCATTTTCAGATGGCTAAATGGCAGCAGTCGATCACTGCCACTGATGAAGCGAGACAAGAAGTATCCATCAAAGCGTATAGTGGTCTGTATTCAACGAAGGAGGATTACGAACGGCGATTAGGACCACCTCCTCAGCCTAAATTTCCGAAGTTCTTGGAACTTTCTCATGAATTTGATGAGTAAGTGCATTGGTAGACTGTGTTGATAGAAGAAAAGAAACATCTCTGGACAACGACAGTCATCTCTACTAAGCAATACTCCCGACCGTTGAAAGGTCTTGTAGAAACATACACACTCTATCTGACTTCTACTTGCAAGCGATCGGGTTCCCTCAAATCTCCAAATCAACCAACTTGTCATGGAGCTTGGTGAGTTCTTCGCGGGTTGTTGCTTGCAAGAAAGAAATAAAAGAAGAGGAATCAACGCAGGAATAGTCGGGGATCTCCAGATATTGGCCTTCGAATTCACAGTCCGTTATCTGAAGTCTGCAATCGCTCAGTTCGTCTCGCACAACTTGAACGACATCTGACCAATTGCTCTCGCTCTGGACTAAATTGATGTTTCCCAAATCCAGGTCATTCAAGCTCGCCCCATGCCGGCGCAACAGATCAACCAAATCTCCACCCTCACCTTCGAAGCCTGAGAGGACTAGGGATTTCAAGACAGGGACGTATATTGTAGAGATCTCCCAAAGGTTGATGTGGTTTGAGTCTTCCATGGGCGTGTGAACTTGGAGAGTAAGGTCGGAGACGGATGGGAACAGATGGATGAAGTCTGCGACATCCGAAGACCAGCCATTTGACACCAACCCAAGCTCAATATCTTCCATGTGTTCGGATGAGAGTAGTAAATGCAGCGTTGAAACATGACGAAAGGCGTCAGGCGCTCGAATTGCCAATAGCTGCGGGATACACAGTGCGGTATGTGGAAGCGAACTTGGTACACTAAATTGGGTAAATGGGAAATGGGCGAAGTCGATCCTAAAGCGTTCGAGTGCTAGGCGGCTTCCTATGACTGCTGATAGCAATGCCACGATTGCACACTTGGCAAAGACAACACCACTGGGTCTCATAACCCATGGCTCAAGCTCGAAGCGGATCTCGTCTTCCAGTTGGGAAAGACCCCAAGGTGGTGATTCCTGCTCACTGGATCCCCAATCCATAACGTAGATTGCCCGGCAATTGATGAAGTTGGCCATGGCGGCTGATAGGTAAGCGATGTCAAGGCCAGTAGAAGCCATGTCCGACTGCTCATCCAAGCAGCGTTGATGCGCTTCCCAGTTAGGTCCAGGATCTACTTCGAACAATGTGAAAGAGTCATTGAACATCAATGTCTCGTGTTTCGTCGAGATATGATTAAGAACAACGTGTAGGCGGTGAACAGCCGGACCAAACACATCGTGACGGGAAATTTCGACCAGAGTTTCCAGGCTCCGTCGCTCTAGAATAAAGCATCTTGTGGTGAAAAAATGCTTTATAAAGTGATCCAAAGACTCGTTGTTGAATCGCTTGGAGGTTTGTCGGAAATCCAGGAGGCTGCTAGGCGAAATGTTGGAAGCAATTTGCTGTATCAACTCCGGGGCAAGGTCGCCAAGACACCGAAGGATGGTCGCCATGGCGAATAAATGAACTCGAATTGCGAATGAGGGCCACTTGGTAGATGGGAAGTCCGAGTGGAGTGACAGTCTACGGCACCTTGATGTTGAAGGAGAAGAATGATCCCTAGGTGGCGAAATGACCGGTGTGTGTGAGTGGAAGAAGAAAGCTCACACACTCTATGCCTCCCTAGCCATGCACGTGCCATGCTAGATGATGGAATTCAACGAAGTGGCGATCGAGTGGCTGGTGATCTCGATGCCCAGCCACGTTCAGTCATGGACCAATTCAACATGCTTACTTGCAGAACGCTTTATCAATGGATAACGAGAGCTCGGCAATTTACGATGAAAAGGGACTGAAATGAGATGTTGACCTAGTCCCAAATCTGTTGAACTCTGATAGCTTAGGGTAATAGAGAACGCTAGTACGGATCATACAATTCGTTTGCCCATTGAGCGAAAAAGATCAGGAGTTATTGAAACTACCGCCGCCTCGCGGTTTCCGTGGCTGAGATTGCGGGTTGTGTCATCATAATTTAGAGAACGTATCTGAAATCCAAATTCTCCAAGTCTGTCTTGTCGTGCATTCCAAGCCTCATCCCGTCAACCTTCTCCTCGACCCCATCAGCGTTACCATACTTGCTGTCCCGGCGCCTATTTTGCCAAGCCATGTACAGTCGTAAGATAATCGCAGTCAAAAGCGCCGCGCAGAAACAAACCAAAATGACCGCAATAGCAAGAACATACTTTGGGGCGTCTTGACTACGGAAAAAGAATGGACCAGCAATATTTCCTGCAGCGAAGACCATAAGAAGCATCGTGTTAGTGAATGCCCGCTTGGTATGGCCTGCGACATTTTGACCGACAATAGTCAAAACGAATGGCCACTTATGAGAGCATGTTAGTACGAGGTTTTCCAATCCCAAGAGAGGTCGGGAACTCACTGTTACAGCGTACGAGTTGATCAGCCAGTATGCAACTACCCTCCCATACTTGTTTGCCCCCGTATCCATGGTTGCATAGACAACCGCGATTCCTGCAATCGCAGGCAGCAGAGGTATGATCATGCCCCATGTTCGGAGGTTTCCGTACTTGATTGAAATGGTTCCCCAAACAATCATGCTACCCGCACTAACAACGGATGAAGGGAGCCCAATGAGCAGTGTTCGGAAAGCATCGAAGCCAAAGCCTGAAATAACCAGGCTTCCGAATGATGTGAGGCCGCCATTAGGGAGTTGAGTGAAGAGAACAAATGCCAGTACCAGCCAAGTCTTGACATCGATCACTGCATGCCACATTTGGTAGTACTTCCATTCATACCCTTTGATGCCTGTCATGTTCTGCGCAACACGCTGTACGGCAATGACTTGCTCCTCGTGTGTGAGAAACTTGGCCTTGTTGGGGGTCTCCGGCATAAAAATGATCCAGAGGACGCCTACCAAGATGCTGAGAATGCCCAGGACTAGGAAGATATACATCCAAGGCCTCAAGGCGGTATTGGTAATATGACCCAGGCCGAAAGACAACAAGCTGCAAACAATGGAAAATGCCCCTTGCATAGCAGCCCACAGCATCGTACGCAAGACTTGTTCCTTTCGGGTGTACCAGATAGAAGTATACAGCAGAATGCCAGGAGTTACAACCGATTCAGCTACACCGAGGAGGAAGCGAACTACCATCAGTCCGGCAAAGTTTCGCAGGCCAAGATGGCTTTCCGATAGTCAGTTATACGACAATGAATGTTTGAGGAGGGCTGGATTCTCACGCAAGCATTAGCACACCCCAAATAATCACGGCAGAGCTGAGAATTCGGACTGTCTTATATCTCTGAAGCATATAGTTGGCAGGGTATTGCGCGGCAAGGTATCCGCTGCAGATGGTCAGTTTACTTTTGAATCCACAGATTTGGTCGTCATCACTAACAAGTAAAACATGGAGCTGGCCCATGAATATTCATCTCCCACCAGACCAAGGTCTTTGCGGAAGTCGAACAATACTGCCCATCCCATTGCAACTTTGTCGACATAGTTGAGGCCATACAGCGAGCACATCAATGCTAAAAGATGGCGATCAATCTTGCGCCTAACAGCATTGGCAATATCCTGCGGCACGGACTGCGCGATGCCTTCCTCAAAAATATCATAGCCTTCATCAGCGACTTGCCCTTTGAGAGCGACCTCATGGCCGCTGGCAGTGTCAGCCGCTGCTGGTGATGCTTCGATGTTGTCGCTCATTTTCCGAGACGAACCTTGAGAATGGACAACAAGCTATGTGGCCTTTCTTTGCGATATCCGGCTCGGGGGTCTAATATCTCCGCTAGAATCACACTTGTCGAGAGCAGCATCGCCGTAATCATGGATCATCGTGCTGCATCCAAACATTTGAGAATGATAGATGCACTGGCTCGGCCTCTAAAAGCCGACTTCGCTATCAATTGTGGCACCTTCGAGTAAGCTTGAATGAATGTCTCCACAACAAGTAGGTATAGGTAGCCACTGATGACCTATCAATGAATGGAAAAACATTTATCTTCTTTTTCCCTGCGGTGGACAATGTGCCGGTCAGCCGGACATTAGCTTCGAGTCTTCGAGTAGCTGATAAGAAGTGGCTTCCTTTGCCGGCGGGCAACCGCTCCGATCTTGTTATCCCGACGGCTCGGAAAACTTCTTGAGGGGTTTTGTATCGCGTCCCCGCCTTCGACAAGGACAAGATCTCCAAGACAAAGACAGTGGACCCGGCTTTCCGCTCAAAAGCTTAGCATGCAGGGGTTGTATGTATCAACGTCCCCCACTTGCCTCGTTTCTAGGTGGATCACCGGGGAAGCCCGAGCGGCCGATAAGACTCCGACTATTTCGCACCATACAAACTTGACCCATGGATCGGACAAGCAGACCGATCTGCTTCCGAATGATTCCCGGCGCCCATTCCAATCCTTCGGTCCTCAGTAAAGGACAAGTCCAGCAAGTCGACTTTGGGCAACATCCAAAACGTGGTCGCCAGTTTTTGCGCTGCCGATCGCCATTGACTTTCTGTGTTAGATGCAACGCTTGCCGAAGCTCAGGGCCTATCAATAAATCAGTCATTCGTCTTCAAGCAAATACAATTCGAAACCACAAACATATTACCAGATCATGCAGGTCCCAGACATTGATCAGGCTCACTGCCTTGCTTTCTTGTCAAGGCTCATTCAAATCAAGAGCTACTCGCAGACCGATGGTGAGCTAGAGGCAACGAATTTCATGGCCGAGCAAATGAGAAAGATTGGACTGGAGTCGGCTATTTGCCCGTTCGACAACGGCCGCCGTCAAAATGCGGTAGGAATCTGGAAGGGCCACCATCCAGTGTCACCAGCGAGCAACAAAGTCCCCAAAACGCTACTCTTCAATGGACATCTAGACACAAATCCTGTCTCCGAAGGTTGGACGATCGATCCTTGGGAGGGAAAGATTGATAACGAGTTTATCTACGGCATTGGAGTCAGTAACATGAAATCTGGCTGTGCCGCGTACTTTTGCGCCGTTGAAGCCCTGCTTAAGGCCGGCTGGCGGCCCAGAGGCGATGTTGTCCTGACCTATGTGGTTGGTGAGCTTCAGGGAGGCGTTGGTACAATGGCCCTCATTGATCAAGGAAGGATCAATGCCGATTGTTTTGTCAACTGCGAACCGTCGGATATACAAGCAGTCACAATGCACGCGGAAGCCCTAGTCTTCGAGATTGAGATTGTTGGAGTCACTCGACACATGTCAGCCAAGGAGGAGGCATCCGATGCGATCCTGGCAGCATGTGAGCTGATTCCCCAGATGGCACGTATGAAATTCCGTGGAGCCAAGAGCAGTGAGCATGAAAAGTGCAACAGATGTTCAGTGGGCGTGGTTCATGGTGCCCTTGGGAAAGACTTGGTTGAATGGAGACCTGCCCAAGTAGCGGACGTATGCAAGCTTGCTGGAAGTGCGCGCTACGCTCCTGGCCAGACACAAGAAGGTGTCATGGCTGATATTCGCGAACTAGTGGGCACGGTAGTTGGTAATTATGCTGGTATGTCGGCTACTGTCAAGCAGCGATTTGAGCCTACAATGCCGGCATTTGAGGTGCCAAGAGACTCGCAGATAGTGAGAGCCCTGAACAAGGCCTATCGCCAGGTTCGCAACTACGAGCAGCCAACAGGGGTTCTTGCGCCGACATGTTTCTATGGATCCGACGCTGGCCACCTGTTCAAAACTTTGGGGATGGAAGGTATTGTCTGTGGTCCTGGAGGGAAGTACAACACCCGGCCAGATGAGAAAGTAGATATTCCGGACTATCTTGACTGCATCAGAATGTTCATGCGTCTGATCGTCGATATCTGTGGTTGAAATTGAGTATATCAAATGACTACTGCACTATTCTGAATAGGCATCTTATGCAGTCTGTCTCTGGTCCTGCGTTATGCTGCAAGTGGCCATCAGTGATCAGGATGCACCATAGAAGATCAAGCCGTTATTTGCAACACGAAGCTGAGTAGTGTCGTGGCAGCATTATAGGTTGCAGGAGCATATTTCACTTTCTCGGGCGCCTTTCAGGGGATAACAAAACATCACCTCATCTCATCACATAAGATTTGGCTTCCGCCCAACCTAGGAAGCCAATGTTGTTCTTATCACTGTTAGGGTCTCCAAAACCCGGTATCCCCGCAATCGGTCGGGGACCGAACGATGGCACTAGTAGTGGATTGGCACAAAACCCCTACCAAATCTGCTTCGCTGTCCAGCAACCGCGTTCATTGAAAAGACATTGACAGCAGCAGCAGCAACCTCAATTTAGCATTCCAACTCCCATACGACTAAGATACTGAGGTAGCTCATGGAGATCAAGGTACCACAACATGAAGCTGAGAAGCTCATGCTTCAATTGCCTGACACTACGAAACTTCGTCATTGGTCAAAATTGTACAGCGCAGAACCCCACCTAGCCGGGGACCTAGCCCACGCAGAACGCATCCGGGATCTATGGATTTCGTACGGTATCCCGGCGGCATTGGAAGAATACCAGGTCCTGCAAAACTTTCCAAAGTCTCAAGCTCTGCACCTCCTTGCACCGGATGGACAGATAGATTTCGAGGCATCCCTGACAGAGGACGAGGTGCCGGAGGATCCAACGTCGTCGCCTCGAAACGGGCTACCAGCCTTTCATGGCTTCAGCGCAAACGGCGAAATCTGCGCCGAATTGGTGTATGCGAACTTCGGCGAGTTGAAAGACTTTGAGCTGCTAAATTCGCATGGAATCTCCGTGAAAGGCAAAATCGTCATATGCAAGTATGCCAAGGTCTTTAGAGGCCTCAAAGTTAGAGCAGCCGAACAGTACGGGGCAGCGGCCGTCATTCTGTATAACGACCCTCAAGAGGACGGCGAATACACTGTCGAGAATGGCTATGAGCCCTACCCTCATGGTCCAGCAAGGCATCCCAAAACAATTCAGCGAGGCAGCGTCGACTTCTTCTCCGTGGCTGTGGGTGACCCCACGACACCCGGGTACCCCAGTTTGCCAGACACCGACCTTGAACGACAGGATCCTGGTCACGCAACCCCAAAGATACCATCTCTGCCCATCTCTTATGCGGATGCTGTTCCTTTCCTTCAGGCGCTGAACGGTCGTGGACTTCTACCTAGTCAGATAGCCGGTAAGCACAGCGACTGGAAAGGTTGTCTTCCGGCAGTGGACTATTGTACTGGCCCTAGCCAAGCCAGAGTCTTTCTATCGAACCAAGGTGAGCAATTCTGATCTCAAGCTGTTCAGAAACCAGGCAAAATTTCTGACTGTATTCCCAGGCACTTACAAATACGCCCCGATCTACAATGTTATCGGTACCATACGTGGGATCACTGAAGAGAGCATCGTTCTCGGTAATCACCATGATTCTTGGTGCTGTGGAGCTATTGACCCAGTGAGTGGGACGGCGGCCATGAACGAGGTCGCTAGGGCTCTTGGCGAGCTTTACTCAAAAGGCTGGAAACCGTACAGGAAAATGTAAGTAATGCATTAATACGGTTGCAACATCCAGCCAGTAAGGATTAGATCTGACTGTCCTCCACGTACAGTATACTAGCAAATTGGGACAACGAAGAATACGGCCTGGTTGGCTCTACCGAATGGGGTGAACACCACCAGGATGATTTAAGTAAGAACTGTGTTGCCTGTAAGTCTTATGAAATGTCTGGATTGTGGGGAAGATAGGAGCTGATCTTTGCTCAGACCTCAATGTTGACGAGTCGACCAATGGTGGGACGGTCCTTGGCGCGACTGGGAGCCCTCTTCTTGCAAGCGTGCTTCGTGATGTTACTCGCATGGTCCAATCGCCGATCAACGAGAATCGAACAGTCTATGATGACTGGCTGAGCGACCAAAAGCGAGCCAATCCAGAGCAGATGACCCCAACCCTCGATCTTATGGGTACGGGAAGTGATTACACGGTCTTCTTCGATCATCTCGGCATTCCGTCCGTTGACCTGCTCTTCAATCGGCAGGGAAAGGGTGTCTATCCTTATCACTCCAACTACGATAGTTACTACTGGGTCGAAAACTTCGGTGATATTGGCTTCAAGAAGCACCTTGCGATGGCTCAACTCTGGGGGTTATTGACGGTTCGCCTTGCTGGTTTGGGTAACATTGCGTTCGAGGCGGCTGAGTATCCGAGGACCCTCGCTCATCATTCAGAGAAGCTCAAGGCCAGATATGATAACGTCCTCAGCTTTCATGCTCTGAGCAAGGCAGTCACACATTTCAAAGACGCGGCGTCTCGATTAGACGCGACATCGCCACTCCGAGTCGCTCCAGGAAACATGCAAGTTGACAATGAAGTCAACAAGGCCTACCTCCATCTTGAGCGGCAGTTCCTTTTGCCAAAGGGGGCTGGGTTGCCTGGCCGGGAGTGGTATCGACATGCTGTAAGTTTCAAGTCTGAGGTCCCGGTTGTTCGTGTTTTAATATCCTGGCAGATCTTTGCACCAGGGCTATGGTATGGCTATGACGGAGTCATCTTTCCGGGCGTTGTGGAATGCTTGGAAGATGGTAACATTGAAGGTGCTGCTGAGTGGCTAGAAAAGATAATCTCTGCCATTCAGAGAGCCACAGACAGCTTGCTATAAACCAGCGAAGAAGTAAACTATCGGTTTGAAACATTTCAGTACAACATTCGTGCAGAGACGTTGCACGGAAACCCCTCGTACAGACCAAAACGCCTGAGACAGAAAACGCTTTGAATGTTACAATGATCCACTTAATTAAAGTAAACACCGATGACATTTCTGAAGCATGAAAACTCATAGAGGTAATCTCGCACTGACAATCAAACGACGATAGTAACCTCCAGGGCTCGCTTTTGATTCTGTTAGCAGATGGCTGCAACCAAGATTCTTCAACATCACTCACTGGCCCGTGTGAGTTACTCGAGTTCGGGACGAGATGAGTCTTGCTTTGATATCGTAGAGTTCCAGCAAGTTCCTCCAAGTTGCCTCTCACATACTCGAGGTACTTAGGCGCGCCGGGAATGTCAGTATTGTCTGCCAATACCACTGATCCCTTGTGAAGAACTTTGAGTTCCTCGCAGAGCTTCAAATCTGGAAGATAGACATCTTCCCAGTGGTCGAAGAAGACTACATCAACGCTTTCGGTCTTGAGATCCCCGTTCTTCACAAGAGTCTTCAACGACTCTGAGCCTGGTCCATCAACGACAGTGACAATGTCGCTCATACCAGCTAGTTTCACAACGTCTCGTGCGATGTCTGCTAGTTCGGGGTCGAGCTCGAAACTGTGAACGCGAATGCCACTGTTGTCGCCCGGATAGAACTCTCTCAGCATAGCGCCCCATGCTATCGTCGAATTGCCAACGAAGCTTCCAAACTCGACCATCACCTTTGGCTTTGGGCTCATATCTGCGAGAGCGACTCGAGCCAGGTTCATCTTGGTTTCACGGAATATCATGGGGAGCTTTTCGGTGTTGGAAAAATCCTCTATGACTCGCACAAGTTCCCACGGGTTCTCTTTGAACTTTTGCTCAGGTAAAGCAGATATATGTTTGTGCAAAGCAACAGCGCGAGCTTTGCAAAACGATTGGAACTAAGTCAGAGAGCGATTAGCATGCTTTCCTGTAGAATAAGATGTAGCTTACGTCTTGATGAGAATGGGCCATATTCTTGAATCTGTTCTGAAAAGCGCCTTTATCTTTTCTACGGCACGAAGCAAGCACTATGTCTCGATTCAAGCACTTCACTTTCCCTGATGAGACATCAGTACGAGAACCTTTTATTACATCTTACATGACTCCATTCGGAACAGCCCCACTAACTTAGCATACCGGTTCGCTCCAGAGCGGGGCAGTTCCGAACGTCGAAACGTAAAGTCAACAGAATTACAGTGTGTCATCTGAACTTTTATTGGATGGAGCGACATAACATCGTGCTATGCGTTGCAAGTGGCGACCTTTATGACGCGGCGATCTCATGCGCCCTACGAACATACGCCTTATGAGAGCCTCGTTCTCCGAGCCTCTGAACCGCTGACTTCTGATCTGCATAAGACGAGTTCGAAGTTCGGCCGAGCAGTGCATACTTCTTGGGAACATTGGCAACACTCTACCAACTCGCCCTTGAATCAGTCGCGGCCGTCGCGGCATGTGTCAGAAGTTTCTCAACACAGCCTTCAGTATATTCTAACCCCCGAGATTGAACGTTGTATTGATGACTACATTGAAAGTCGCAGGCTCGGTGTTATGAGGTCGTAGCGTAAGGTCAAGATTCAACCTTTTTACTCGATGCTTTATTGGCGCTTCGTAGCTGTATTCGTTACATGAAGTTAAATTGATGGAATTGGTGATAACAGCCTCGCTGGGTAAGCGATAGACTATCAGCAACTAAGTCAAGTCACCATCGTTAATATTACGCTGAATTTGAACCATACCTGTTGGAGTTTCGCATTCGCGGAAGGACACGGTAGTCAGGGTTACGGAAGACTCTTATCAAGTCGATGATATCTCAACGCGTGCTCGTGTACGTTTTTTGTTAGTGAAGTACGCGAACGAAAGGGCAAAACAATTTCTCGCCGTTGATAGTTTGGTACATAGCGGAGTTGTCAGTTTCGGACTGAGGTGGCTTCGGATGTCATGACAAATCTTCCCATCATCCAGATAATCATTAGGTAGGTTGAGCTGACTTTCATATAACTGTCTATACATCTCAGTCAAGGCCCAATTCCACCAGTAACAGCATGTTTTGAGTATCACAACAATCTGAGGTATAAAAATATTGTTAATCTGGATGAGAGAAAGTCTAGTTACCATTAATACTGGGAGCCCACGCCGTTCGTAAGATGCCGCTGGGCTGAATGAAGATTTCATGATCATCTTCTACAGCTTGATATAACTCATCTAGGATAGAGTCGCACCATCGGAGTAAGAAATAAAGTTTCTATGGGCATGCATGAGAGCAACGATGGTTTGAGCAGGGCTTACAGCCCAGCGAACTCCTCGCCCTACCTTATGTTGCAGGCATGGCATCCATCATCTACCGCTCCTGAGGGATTCAAGGCCTAGGAACAAGCTGCCTTACCTCATAAAACTTCTATGATTCAGTCCAATATATGTATGAAGACAGCCTCTATCTGGGATTAGAAATTGTGAGATTATTCAAGTGAACTTGTTTTCTGTTGACTGGGACAAGGTGCTGCGAGCCAGGGTTCAAACTCTAAGACTATGTCACACGGCAGAATCTGGATTTATCATAGGAACTTGGTTAAATGTGGGCTGCTTTTGCTTTTTAGTCCGGCGTGGGTATGAATCTCATTGCCTCATAAATCATGCCCTTCGAGGGTTTGAGCTCTAGGGACCGAACTCCGTGGACTTTAGTTCACAATTCTGTAGGCCACAACTGTCAGCTCTACAGCAATGCTTTAGGCATATGCGTTTTTCAGGTTGTCTGAATGTGGAATCAATGTTGGACTTATCAGACTTTTGTCAATTATTGTATTTAGGGACATGGAACAAGCGATGAGAGTCTTGGGTCATGAACAGCATCTGGAAAGAAAACAATGGATCGCCAGCCTAACACGTATTGTTATACCGACTGTCGCGATAAGTCCTGAGAACTCACCCTGCGCGTGACTGCATCGAAACTGTTTCATGTCACTGTTTGTCAAAAGTCATCTTCGATCTAGGCCCAAGAGTCGGGATGCCCATATTGTGTCGTCCTGGTAGGAACTTTGGCAGCTTGTTCTCAAACGTGCAGGAGCCAGATCTGCTGGGAATCCAGAGTTTAACAGTCCTGTGGAAACTGCTAGAGTCCTAGGCACTTAGCTTACTACCAGTCTATTGTGTTCGATGGCTCTGATGCCTATAGGTGGGATCCGTTATTTGATCGTGGTGATATTGCGAGGCAATGATTGAGTGGGTGGGCACTTCACTCGTGGCCTATGATGCTGACGGACATAAGAAGATCTTGGCCCTAAGGAAACGGCTTTTCTCTTGCCAGGTGAGGATATGCCAAGGGCAGCGTGCTGATTGGTGGCTAAGGTGTGTTGTAGAGTCGGGTTTGAATAGCAGGTCCTTCGTGTCTCTCGAGTTGCTACTGTGATTTCGTCCTGGTTGTATAGCGTATCGCTCGCGTATAGCTTAAGGACATCTCCTTTGGTAGGTTTCGACGTGATTGACTGAAATTTTGAAGGCCATGAGTTGAGGTAGGAAGGTTGGAAACCGGCGTTTATATAAGTATGAGTGAATGTTGCTGCGCCCGCAGCCACGCGAAGGGTGAGCGCCCGTCCATCTGAAGAACAGACTATCTACGGATAATCGGGGGCGCTTGGGCGCCATTCGATGTCAAAATGAGAGAGAGAGCGCCCGCAAAGACGCAAGTCAGCGGGACAGACCCAGGCGGACGGGACGGGAGGAGCAGCAACAAAGTTGATCTACTAACTCTAAAGTTGCCGTGCGGCCGTTGGGCGATGAACGGCAACCTTTGCAAAGCATGTAATCTTTGGAGGCCTGGGGAAATATGAGACATGTCTAGATCACGTTTAACGTTTTTGATCGACCATCTATTTTATTCCTCACTCTCATGTAAGTGCACGATGTGGAGCAAGTGAGACGGATCACCTAGAAGCCTGGCGCCTGATGGATCTGATGAATGAGAGATTGCGAGCTCGCCAGTGATGGCTCATAAAGAGGGAAACGACTTTGACACGGAGAGTCTGAGACTGAGAGGCCGCGCATGTGACACGTACATACGAGAGTAGTTTCTTTATCAGTACTTTGTACAAACGAAGGACATTCGACGCTGGATGCTAGATACCGTGTTAGCCGGCATTCCTTGGCGAATGCAATGGGAGCGACTAGTCTAGGGCGGCATGATTTGAGAGACGAATGGGGATTTCGGATATGAGTGGTTAGGGGTTTGATGAGTGCTGCAGGAATCAGGAATGGCGCTGGCTGCTGATAAGGCTGCAAGTCAGCAGACGAAGTCTGATTATCTCTGTAGCATTAAGGTAAGGTAGATGTCCACAAGCAAATGGGAGAAGCTATTAAGGTCACTCGTAACGAGCGATGAGCTAGGTAGTTGCATGACGCGGAAGCGAAACACCGAGTCCGAACATGAAATAGAGGTGAGAACAATAAGGTGACGACGACGAACATTGGTGCTTGATGAGAAGCTGTGTTAAGTGTGTGAGATGCCAGTGGTGAGAGATTGAAGGTGAGGAGAGTCGTCGTCGTCTATCAGGTGCCCCGTTTCAGTCGTTCGTTGGAAAACGGAAATGGAAAGAGGGATGGGGGTACCCCCTGCAGGGACAGACAAGGGCAGGGACCGTCCCACTGGTGCCTGCCTCGCCTTATCATTGCCAAGATGACGCTAGCAATCTCAGCCCCACCGTGCCGAGAGATAAGAGGGGACGGCCAATCAGAGGCCCGACCATTCAAACACAGGAAGAACCAACCTGGCTTGCAGCTTCTCCAGGCCACTGGCCAGTAAGGTGCGGATAGGTTTTGGTTCTTTCCATGGATGCAGAGTTCGTTCCCACAAGGCAAGAGCAAACGGAGCAGCAACGCATGTTCCTTCTAGCGTTCCTTTCCTTTGGTTATTGGTGTCCATTTCATGCTCATTTCGTGCCTGCCCAAAGTGTTCCAACAGTGTGCAATTGCGACACCCTACAGGTAGCAGTAAGGTGCCCGACCCTCAAGGTACGTATTCACTGAGGTACTCGGGACAGACTCCGAAAGGATACTAGGTACGAATACATACTTCTGGAAGCAAAGTACCTTAGTCAGCACCGGGTTTCCAAGCTCCGCCCAGCGCCCACCTTCACTCCCGTCCACGGGTCTCCCACTTCAGAACAGAAGTTCAGGCTCAACTCCCTCACACTTCTCGTGCGAATGGAACACTCCATCAATGTCTTGGCTCGATGATTCTCTGCTCCATCGGGGTGATCATGACGACATGTCGCCCATCCCAAGAGAATCCGGGGCTTATGGCTCGTTGGCTCGTCAATGTGAGGGATCATCGAATCCCACCATCATGCTACAACCGCCTTGCACTTCTCACCCTCTCGCGCCCACGATCAAAAACGCCACGGAAACTAAAGAGCTACTTTAATCACTGGCTCTGTCTTCACGATAAGAGATATCCGCCATCTACTCGTATTTCCTTCTGTCTGGGTAACAGCAGTCTCCGCCATATCAACCAGCCATCGGCAAGCCAGCAATCTCGATTCCCCACCTCACCATCAAGTGAACTTGCGCACCAACAGCGATTCATGCAACACCTGATTCAACATCTTCACCAGCCCAGCTTTGCTCTCATCAACGCTTGTCAGACGCGCTACCTCTATCAGGCGTTCCACCCTCGGCTTTTAGGTGTTGCAATTACCTACGGCGCATTCCCGTCATGGCTTTTTTCTTCTATCAACTTATCAACCAAGGTAGCCCGGTTTCGGTGTCGTCTTATCTCTTAGTGGACCTGAAGGATTCCCGACCTTTCCCCAGCGGCGCAGCATATTCACGGAACGGCAAGGCGAGGGATCAAGAACAGCCTGCGAGCCTTTCCCGATTGGATGTGTCGTTTGGCTTCACGCCGTCTCGCAACATTCTGGCGGACTGGAAGCGCTGCAAACGAAACCATTCTGGGCTTGTTTGAAGCCGCGCGCCTCAGCTACCCATCTCGCGAGAAAGCTTCGATCAGGCTTGAGATTAGCGACTTGGACTACACACCCGTTGACAGCCTGCAGATTCTCTGATACTGTGCCAGACCACCGGACTAGCACCACCACCCGAGTCATCGCTCGCCATGTGGGTGATTCACCTTTCGCTAGCGTCACTGACACGTTCTTCAGCTTGAAGTCTATCCACCCGTGATTATATTTTTTGCGGATACACAAACGAACGGAGTTTAACTACTGAGACGCAGCTGACGATGCCGGCCTCCAGCGTGCGATATCGGGCAGAACAACCATGGAGACCCCCTCTAGCCTCTACCTCAGGTCGTTTTGTCACTGTGTCGCTTGGACATCGGAGTCTGAGCGCTTTTGAAGGACGCCTCCTTCTGCACCTTTCTTCTTCTCCGGCACCGTGCAATCGGGACAAACAACGTTCACCGCGGGAAAGCGACATCGCTCGCCAATCATCCGTGGCCGTTTCTCATTTGACTCCCATGTCGTATCGTATCCGTGACAGCAGCTATGAAGATGGCGTCGAGCTAGTCCTGTCAAATTCCAACGGCGGAATACCTTAATTTCTGTCGATCGGTGTGCTGCAGCAACTTTCACAACGTGTGGTTGCGATGAGTTACGATTTACAATGGCATCGATGTGTGAGCCACTACGACCCATTGTCTACCTAGGAACAAGACATGTGGCTGGTGCTGCCTGTTGCGCAAAACACCCATGACCCATCTATCCATCCATCCATCCATGGGGATGGGGGGGGGGGGGGGTGGGGGATCACACAGAAGTCGTGTGTAACTGGGTCTTAGCTCCCATCAACCACCAAAATCTCCCTTGGTCGCCTGAGCGAGCCCCTCGATGCGCCCTGAGCTTCTGCTCGATTTCTCTGACTAGACTCACCAGAGGGCAATATTGATCAAACAAAAGAGCCATGCAACGTAAGGTATCCGTACGGATACGGATACCGCCGGCTTGATTGCCAAAGGTCTCTAAGAACGGTGCATCTATCCCGTTTCGCAGCTATGGACCGAATCGCCCCCACACGGCAGCGGCCAGGCAAGGTCGGAATCTACGGGCGGAACACGACGCGGGAAATGAAGTGGCTACAGATTGTCAGATAACACTGCTTACCAAGTACGGATGCGTTTGCTGGATTATCGCGCCTCGCTGATGCGTTTCTGCCGTTGCGTCGCTGAGGCACAGCATGCGTCTTTCCTTTTGATCCTCATCTCGAATTCCCTTGATCGCCTGTTTCCTGCAGTCTTGGCCCGTCTCGGGTCCAGAGACGTCACGTCTGTGCCGACATGTCTGGACTTGGTTGCATGCCAGACGACCATTGGTGCTGCACTGCGGTCTGCGAGAGAAAGTTGGAAAAACTTTGTCCTGGTCCGAAATGTTGCATCCAATGTCAGCAAGAGCAGCAAGCGGAGGGATTGCCCTGCGGCTCAACCGACCGAAAAAGATCCATCTCATTTGCCCCGTGCGACAACCCAACCAACAACATTGGGAATCAGGCAATGGGCACAATGTTTCGCTGACGAAGACAGCATGTTGAAGAGTTGATGGTCTCTAAACGTGGGCACTGGGCGGGATCAGCAAAGCTAAAGCCATGTCTTGGCATGACACTCTATTTCATCTGCTCGATTCTCGACATTCTCCACGTCCAGAATTCGGTGTCTCAAAGTCTCAGGCCAGATAGAGTACGGTACACACCGTGGGCCGTGGCAGACTCCAGAGAGTACAAATACCTACCACGCCTACCTACTGCGGTAGCGTCCGTATGCTAAATAGGTAGTCCAACGGACGAAGAAACGTCTACGGTACGCTAGCGGCCAGGTTCTGCCAAGAGACATGGCTCCCTGGAATGGCTTCAATTCGCCTTGAGCCGAAGCCCCCGACCCAAGGCATCCTTGTCAACCTCCTTCGACAAACCCCGGCCAGTCTCCAATTCCCTTATCAGTACCCACAGGTTCCGACGGCCCACTCGATGCTAGACGACAACATGGGATGGGGGGGGAGGGGGGAGTCCAACAAGGGTCCTCGGAGCATGTGGCTCAAGTATATGTACGAATTCCACCGACCGTGTTTGTATGAAGCTCTCGCGATGAGGGCGTTCTCGTACCACCACCATGCAGCTACGCCAGTAGAGGGACATGCCCGACTTGTCTTGCCGGAGACAGACGAGGATTTGGAAGTCGCTCCAAAATACAACCCTCATCTGCTGCAACTAGACACCCTCTCACGCCCTTTTTTATGCTTTCCTCCCCACCCCTTGGCCCTGCACTATTGGTGTTGCCCGGCATAGAAGGCTGGTCAATGAGCGACCTCCCCGTCCCAACTAACTGACATCCCATCCTTCATCTTACCCGCGCCATCGGTCTGGGCTGTTCATCCCTGCCGCCTTCGGATCCATCCAAAGATACTGCAGCAACTGTGCTTCGTAGTGGACTTGGCCATCTGTACTCGTAGGCTCAAATATCGGCGGGCTCACGACGAGGGGCCGAAGGCAATGCCCCGGTTTTGCTTTTCTCAATGTTGCTTCTGGGATTATTTAGCCTGTCCATCCCCGGTGTAGACTTCAACGTTGTGTCTTTTTCCCCTTCCTTCGTTCCCTCCCTTCCCTGTAGCTCTCTTCACCCATTACTCCTTCTTCGACGTCTGTTCGCCGATCTCGAGGCAGGCAAACGTTGAAGATTCCCGAGGACCCCGTCCGGACACCGCGCACCGAAATCACTACCCATTGACCGCTCACGCGCCGGCGCGCAACCGTCAACATGTCTGCCGGTCTCTACGCCATCCCCTACAATGGCACCGAGGGCGAGGCCGACGCCGGCTACTCTGCTGGTGTTGCCGATCTCAACGTCTTCTATGAGGTGAGCTCATCTGATACCCGCCGTCGCCCAACGACGACTACCTACCTCATGCATGTTGTTGTCTAACATGGTTGCATAGTCTGGCGACCTGGCCTGGATCATGGTCTGCTCGGCGCTCGTGCTGCTCATGATTCCCGGTGTCGGTTTCTTCTACTCGGGTCTTGCCCGTCGAAAGTCCGCATTGTCTTTGATATTGATCTCGATGATCTGCGTGGGCGTGGTTGGATTCCAATGGTTCTTCTGGGGTTATACTTTGACCTTCTCTCACACCGGCTCCGTCTTCCTCGGCGACATGTCAAACTTTGGTCTCAAGGAGGTTGTCGCCCAACCCTCTGTCGGCTCCACCAAGATCCCTGATATTCTCTTTTGTCTGTATCAGGGCATGTTCGCCGCCATTACGTGAGTCTACTCTACTCTGGCGCGAAGTCTGTAACCTCGACGGCGGCATCTGACCACACTACATAGTCCCGCCCTCGCGCTCGGCGCTATTGCTGACCGCGGTCGCATCCTCCCCGCCATGGTCTTTGCCTTTATCTGGGCCACCATTGTCTACGACCCCATCGCCTACTGGACCTGGAACGCCAACGGCTGGCTGTTCACCCTCGGCTCCTACGACTTTGCTGGTGGTACGCCCGTCCACATCTCATCTGGCGCTGCCGCCCTTGCCTACTCATTGATGCTGGGCAAGCGCACCGGTTACAACAGCGTCCACGGTCTCCCATACCGCCCTCACAACGTCACCCACGTCGTTCTCGGAACCGTCTTCCTCTGGGTCGGTTGGTTCGGTTTCAACGGCGGTTCCGCTCTCGCCTCCAACATCCGTGCTGTTATGGCTTGCTTCAACACCAACCTTGCTGCCGGTGTCGGTGGTGTCACCTGGATGCTCCTTGACTACCGTCTGGAGAAGAAGTGGTCCACCATTGCCTTCTGCTCTGGCGCCATCGCCGGCCTGGTTGCCATCACCCCCGGTGCTGGTTTCGTTACCCCCTGGGCTGCCGTCATCTTCGGCATTGTCGGTGGCATTGCCTGCAACTTTGGTACCAAGCTCAAGTTCGTGCTTGGCATTGACGACGGTCTTGATGTCTTCGCCGTCCACGGAATCGGTGGTATCTGCGGTAACATACTGACCGGTATCTTCGCTGCGTAAGTCTTGCTGCCCTTCCTGCGGAAATCACCCGCAGAACATTGTTCTAACATGTCCTACTATAGCTCCTACATTGCTGCCCTCGACGGCGCCTACACCGGCGAGAGCGCGATTGCCGGCGGTTGGATCGAGCACCACTACGTCCAGCTCGGCTACCAGCTGGCCGGCTCCGTCGCCGGTTTCGCCTGGTCCTTCACCTTAACCTGCCTCATCCTCTTCCTGATGAACCTCGTTCCCGGCCTCAGCCTGCGCGTCAGCGTCGACGACGAGGATCTTGGCCTCGACGACTGCCAGCTCGGCGAGTTTGCCTACGACTACGTCGAGGTCACCCGCCATGTTTCGGACATTGCGCCCAGCAGCAGCCATGACGGTGCCCCCGGCAGCTCCGCCCACAGCTCATTGCCTGAGAAGACTGTCTAAGTCTTTGGACAATAGAACTTTTGCAACTATCCATCACTTACAGACTTGCTTGACCGTCGGAAAGTACATCCACGGCTGGAAAAAAGGGGAAGGCAGTTATCGTCTATAATACTTTTGTTCACATCTGCTTTGATACCAACTTGGCACTCGCTTGCTAGATTTACTATTAGTCTTTCCGTGGAACAATTCACGAGATCATCTCATAACGTTCATCAACAGCCGCCCTCTCCCTGAAGTGTTGCTACATAAGTTACTCCAGATACTCAAGTTCATGAATTGTGTCAATGTACCTGCATTTAGGTCCTGATGGCGTGGCATTCTCCTGAAAGTTCTGCCTCGCCTGCCTCGGCGCCTGGTTGTAATCTCACCCACGATCACACCTACCCGTTGCATCGTTCCAGAAAATTCTCACTGCATGTGCGCACAGCTGCCGGCGTAGCATCTCAGAACTCATGCTGCCACCTACCAACTAAGGTATGGTAAAGTATGGTAGGACAGCCGCTGCTCCTTCTCTCTCTCGGAAAAAGAAAGGTAGCAACGCTTGAATCCTTTGCATCCTTCGCTGCAACAACACACCAATTGCTGTTGAGCATTCCAAATACTCCGAGACAGCAGCACAGTCAGCACCCAAAGATAGCTTTGCAATGGGCAAGTAATATGTCACGTTCCCCCTGACGTTGGATTCTTAATGCTGAGTGATTGACCCTGACCACGATTCGTCCGATCTCATCTTTCGCCCTGGATTCTATTCCTCACCCTCTGACCTCACACACTCCACAACCTCTCTCTCGAGTCTAGTCGCACGTTCGTACATACTCCATCAAGGAATTGAACCACCATCGACTAACCAAGCCTGCCCGGTGACATACGAAGACTCATCTCCTAGCAAAAAGGCAATTGTCGTCGCCACCTCCTCAGGCTGCCCGACTCTCCCCAAAAGCGGCTCAAACACGTCCGCCCCGGTCTCTGTGGTCTTGGCCGCCAGCGCCGTCCGTAAAATAGGCGTATCGATTGCGCCGCTGCGTTTCTCGTCAGACAAATTTTCATAGGTTCAATGCAGACAATTGCAACTTACGGGCAGATAGCGTTGATCCTCAATCCCTTCCTTCCAAACTCCCTCGCCGCACTCTTGGTCAAACCAACAACAGCATGCTTACTCGCCGTATACGCCCCATGATACTCCAACCCATAGTGCCCCGCCACGCTCGACACGTTTACAATACTCTTCCCCTTTCCCTCCTCCGCCAATGCAGGAATCTCGGCCCTCATGGCATTCAATATCCCCCTCGCATTCACGCCCATCACGAAATCCCATTCGTCGTCCTCAATCTGCGTCACCGTCGCCAAGTTGCCCTGCCGCCCAAGCACGCCGGCGACGTTGGCCGCCCCGTCCAACGGTCCGAGCTTCTCTACCGTTTCCGCGATCCACGCCTCCACCGCTTTGCGGTCCCGCACATCCACGACTCGCGAGTAGACGTTGTCTGCCCCGTGCAGCTTGGTGAGATCCGCCGCGGCCGTGGCGAGGAGGGGCTCGTCGACGTCCGAGATCGATACTCGCGCGCCTAGGTTGGCCAGGTGCTTCGCTGTCGCCAGGCCGATGCCCGATGCTGCGCCCGTGATGGCAATGACTTTGCCGTTGAGGTTGCTCATGTTTGTGGTGTCAGGCTTTGGCGTGATGAAAATGTCTTCTCCTTCGTGAATAATTAGCGCTTGTGGTCGATGAGGCAGGGAATGTTGACCCCTCAGCGGGCTTTTGATGTCTTATCCATAATTGTGTATCTCCGCCTTGAGGCATGGCATGCTGAGTAACATGCTTTGAGCGTCGGATCGGCCCACCTGTTATGGTCACTACCGAGCTATCTAACAGCGCCGCCCGGCCAAAGTGGAGCCGTCCGGACACTCATTGCCGGACGTGACGGAGCAGACCAACGCTCCCGCCCCCCGGGAGCCTTTCCTTGCGTCAGCCATCTGGGGGATTTCAACAATCTTAGCGAGCTTAAAAGTGGCCTGTATTTGTTCAAAGTCAACAGAGCATCGATGAAGAGGCGACTCGCGCCCCAATAGCTGCAACAAATGTCTGTGGAAGTCCGTGTACGCAGATTCACCAATGACCATGGCACGTGGGGAAAGTCATGAACAGATATGGGTTCCATTGAGACATGCTAGTAATCCTATGGTTGATTCATGGGTGTGGGGCATGGCTTGTCAACCATTGTTCAAGCCTTTTGCATCGTCCTCAGCGTAGCAAGATCCTGATGGTTACATTAGATCGTCGCTTGGTCTGCCCAACTTGGTAACATTTGCGTTCGAGAGAACTTCAAGAGCTGCGAGGCTGAATTGGAAATGGCGTTCAAGCGTTTCTTTCTCGATCGTCTCCAATGTCTGCAATCAAGATTAGCACCCTACTTTCGGCGTGGCCATAGAAGTTTTCGGTGGAACTGACATCTTTATCCGTATGAATTCTGTCATTGCCCGTTGGGTCACGATCCGCAGTTATGAAGGCCGCAGCTATGATACCATTGTCAACCGAATTCAAGCAAGAATGAAACTTCGCACTCACGGTACTTGTTGTTGTGAGCGCTTGCATGATCGGAACAGGCGTAACCGCAAGAAAAGCTCAGTGTTGCGATGCCGCGCTGCTTTGCAATGGTTCGGAGGACATGTGTGAGGCGTGGGTCAATTTTGTCGCCACCAAGAGACACCTTGTCAGTAGATGAGAAACCCAGCATGTCGTGGTTCAGCATGGCAACCACGGTCTTGTTTTTGACCTTGTAATCGTAGAAGATCTCTGAAGAACCAAGCAAACCGACCTCTTCTGCGGCATAGAAGTGGAACTCGACTGTGTTGCGAAGGGGCTTCCAAGGCTCGGTTTCCTTGTGACTCGTCTTTTCTGCTAGTGTCCGGAGAAGTTCAAGTAGCACGACCGTTCCAGAAGCATTATCGTCGGCTCCCGGAGCATAGCCACCAGGCTTTCTTGAGATGGAGTCGAAGTGGGCGCCGAAGACAACTGGTAAGAGGGTCAGCAGAGCCACCTAGAAGGTCGAGAACAGGCTTACCGATGTCAGAGGTAGCTCCGGGTAGCTTGGCAATAATGGAGGGCTGCTTGGTGGCGTTATGCGCGAACGCCGCGGATTCGATATGCGGGTTGACCAAGGCAACGATCCTCTCAATACTTTCGAGGATCCATTCGGCAGCTTTCGTGCCGTTTTCCACCCGATGATCTCTACTCCAAAACCTGCGATTCCAGTCAGGACATGAAGCAAGATTGTAGTCAGTCTTCTTTACTCAGTCATTGTCTTGAGGTGACGCATTGCACGTTCAGTATTGAACGGTGTCGGTTGCTCAGAAGGGGCCATAGATCGGCCATCAAATTCGGCCTCCATCCAATCTAACCCTCGATGAGCCAAGTCAGCATTCAGGTCGAGTGTGTTGAGGTATTGACTGAAGTCATGATCAGGAGTGGATATCATTTCGAGAACTTCTTCGTCCTGAGGAGATGTCAGCCAAATCAATCTTTCGATTGAATAGAACCGAGCCGTGCCAGGGATTCAAGAAGGCTTACCTTGATGTCAGTGATATCGATGAAACGGACACCATTCTCGATCATCGCATCTTTGTTCGCATCGGTGACCCATGATCCAGGATCAGCTGGGGATGTTTTGACAAGCCGGAGGGTAGAGTCAGTATGGATGAATGGAAGTCGCGAACCCTGTTGGTGGCTTGGTGCAGGTGAGGTTGCTACGAAGGATGCCAATGCTGCCAAGACAGCAATGTAGCGAGTTGCTACCATGCTGGATGTCGCTTCGCGTCTGCGTAGATGGACTGGAAGATTCCAACGAACAGGCAAGCAGGCGGTACTTTGATCGGAGATGGGATGCAAGAACGAGCTGGTGAATGCTAGGGAGCTGTAAGGAATGAACTTTGTGAAGAATAATCAGGTAGAGTGACTGTTTTCTGCTCAGCAAGGCGGGATGCAGAAGCTCGGGAGGGATGTGTTGGTGATGAAGATGGTGCAGAAGATTTCGGACGTTGGTGGGTGTTCTTTGCCAAGGTTCTTTGGTACAATGAGACGGAAGCGAGGGCTTGCATTAGGTACTTACATGGAAAGTGAGGTGCAGAAAATAGGTACTTCCAGTCTTGCCAGACTCGCCATGTCGTTGCAAGGGGAAGGCATCACGTCGTTAGGTACCTTCCACGGCTACGTACCTACCTTGGGTATCTTGCTTCAATTACGGGCAGGTACCTTGGTTGCGTCAGTTACGTACGATTCTTTGCAACTGACAATGGCAGGTGCCAGCATCCAAAGTGCCTTCTATACCGAACCACCTCATCCAAAGTACCTATCCAAGAAAAAACATGTCCTGGCATTGAGTCAAGGGAAAGAACTCTGAATGTCATGAACAACACTGCTCTATCTCACGACTTGCTTGGCCAGTTCAACAAGCGGCCAAGAGAAGAATAAGCATTAACATTTCAATGAACATAATTGCGAATGCCATCGCCAATCCATCACTCACGGAAAACTAGGTCTACACCACCTCGAGGCGCAAGTGTGATCTCACTTGCCATGCGTGGCCTTGATCTCACAAATTTCTCCACCGAGTCGGGCTCCATGCCTCTTTTCTCCCAGCCAATTGCCATGGACTCCGAATCCTTAGATATTGGTTGTTGTCTCACTTCAACACTTCGGTATTGTTGAAATACACGAACCAAAACGTACGCCATCTCAGTCAGGGCTAGCTGCTGCCCGATGCATATCCTCGGCCCACCATTGAATGGAATATACGTCCATGGACGAGGTGTCCAAGTTTCCCATCGGCGAGGATAGAAGTCGTGGAGTGGAATCTTGTATGAATTAAGATCATCTCGCAATTGAAGGACATGCGTGGAATAGATGATCTGGGTACCCGATGGAACTCCTACTGGGTCATTCCCGCCTGGTCCACCTCCACGTGGTAGACTGGTGTCTTTTGAAGCAGCTCTGATGTTGAAAGGTGCGTTGGGATATAGCCGAAGAGTCTCATTCAGCACATGCGTAACGAACGTCATGCTCTTGAGGTCGTCATAAGTTGGTAGACGAGCTCCGGCACCAACGCCCAACTTGTTCTGGATCTCGCGGCGAAGCTCGGCAAGCACTTCGGGATTCTTGGCGAGCTCATAAAATGCCCAGGACATTGTGGTTGCAGTGGTGTCTCGGCCAGCGATCAATATCGAGACCATTTCATCACGCAGATACCGAGCATCTCGAGAGACACCAGCGCATGCATGAAGAAGTGTCCATCCGTGGTCTGTCTTGTCCATCTCCGTTAGTTCCGCGTCCGACATTGATATTGCCTTCTCAATGCTGGGACCCATGAACTTATCCAAGGCCTCTAAGTCTTTGCGGAATTTGCGGCGCGGAACAAGGAAGTTCAGAGGGCCCAATCGCTCAATCAAGGACTGAGTGTGGCGGATACGCTCAAATGCCTCAAAGACAGCGTCATCGTCTTCGCTTGTCAGAGAATTCACCTGTCTCCCGAGGGAAAAGTCTGCTGATACATCAAGCGCCAATCTGCTTAAGACGTCCTTCATATCCACACAATGGCCACCAGCTAATGCTGGAAGCATATCCTGGATATGACGCTCAAAACAGACGAGGTCACTAACTCGTTGGCGGGTGAAAAGAGATCGGAGACGTTGGCGAGAGGCATGCCAAGCGTCACCGTCAACGTTGAAGATGCTATTTCCCATGAGTTCAAACCAATCTGCTCTGAAGCGCTGACCCTTTCCAAAGTCGTTGAACTGAGTCGCAAGCATGGCTCGAATATTCTCGGGATCGGCAGTGAAAATTGCACGCGTCCCTATCAAGGAGACCTCAAACGTGTATGGGTTCTTCTTCCCCTGGCCTGATCGGAGAAACGCGTTATGCATGAATTTGAGGTTTTGATCCTGTAAGGCATGAGTCGTGATGGACCACAGAAAATGCAAGCCGGACAGTACGCCTAATTTAACGTTAGTCATCACGAATAGTAGCTTGAGGTTTCGGAAACTAACCAAACGGCGTATATGACTTGTATCTCGACGCGTGCCCTCCATGACGCCGAATCCTCCTTTCTTCGTCAATGAACTTGACAATACTTCGTAGGAAGACGAGGAACAGTAGCCCAAGGACAAGCCATTCTGCATATGAGCCAAGGAAACCATCCTTGATGTGACTAGGTTTACTCATAGCTGCGAGTCGCTAAATTTTGAAGAGGTAGGGACTGAGCTCAGTGATCTGATGCGAGATCCGAAATTCGGAAGACTAATACCGAGGAAGGACTCTTCTTGACTTCTGTAGCCGTTGATCAAATCATCAAGACAATGACGGATGCCAAATCTGGTCTCGAGATACTCTATCTTGAAAGTTCAGACAGCGTGCAGTAATCTTTTTCGTGCCGATTGCTACTGTCTTATCGAAGCAAGAGACCGAAACATACTTTGACAAACGTCGAGGGAGCGGGGTGAATTGCGAGTCCGCGGTAGAACCTGAGATGTAGCCAGTGACATGACTAGACCAAAACAGGTGTTTCTCTTCGAGGAGGATGGCATGCTGAGAATCGGAAAATGTGGTACGGAGTCGACCTTGCCAGCATGGTTCAGCCGGCAGACAAAGTTTGATATAATTGACTTCCGGTGTTATGCAACATACCTGCGGAACGCTGCGGAACTATCAGGCGGCGGAACCAAGGCAGAGCAGGGGCCTACTCTGGAGACGCTTCCCGGAGGAATCAAACCTTACGACGTGATCTGAGTAGTGCGCTACCACTCATAAGAATTTCGCTTTAGGGAAACAAAGAGGCTTCGTAGACAGCATGAGGATACATGCAAGAAGAACTGTTCTGAGACTATTGCAAGCACCAAACCTGAAGATGTCGACAAACGTTTTCGTTGCTCTTTGTCTGATTGGGCTCTATACCATTTACACCATATCGTGTCTTATTCGAAACATCACCGTTGCCAAGACTATTGGTATTCCGGTTGTCTGGAGCCCCATAAGCCCCTTAAACCCATTCTGGATCATCTTCAACAAACGAGTTACACCAATCCTTCAGCGCCTTCCTCTAGGCTTGGGCGATTGGACCACGTACAATACTCTTGATTGGACATGGACTGACCGGACACATGGCAACTCCCAAGTTCATGACAAGCATGGCAACACCTTCGCTCACGCCACGCCGAGAGAAGTTGAGATTCACACTCGGGATCCTGCAGTAGCTGTTCAAGTGCTCCGAAAGCAGGCGAACGACTTTCCCAAAATAAGCCATTACGCCAGCAAGTGTACACTATCTCATGAGGTCAAGTGCTGCTCTTTTTGGCTAACCAATCTTTCAAAGAAATCCTAGACGTACTGGGCACGAGTCTGGTATCCTCAGATGGCGATGATTGGACTCGTCACCGGAAGGCGACTGTCGCCACTCTGAGCGACAGGACCAATCGTCTCGTGTGGGCAGAAAGCGTCCGACAGACTCAGCAAATGGTTCATCATTATCAACGCTCTTCACAGGGCCTAATCTGCGATCCTGTGGACGATGTCCGCGAACTTTACCTTCATGTCTTTACCAGCGTTTGTTTCGGCTTTACGTATGACTTCAAGCAGCCCGAAAGAGACTGCGTCCCAAAAGGACACTCGCGAAGCTACAAGTACTGTCTCCACACCAGTCTCAAGGACATTGTCATCCTTCGGCTGGTGCCAAGTTGGGCTATGAGATTTCCTGCCCTGCCACAGAGGATTAAGAACTTCCGAGATGCCGTGGCCGAGATGCGGCAGTATCTCGATGAAATGATCAGTGACTGCAAAGACAGTCTCAGAGGCAGCAGGAAAAAGACGCAGAATGACAACTTACTTAGCTTTATGGTAAAGAGGAACAGAAATTTGGAGGTTCAAACTCGCATGGATAAATTCACGGATGACGTGTCGCATGCCTTACTGACAGAGTCTGAGATTCGAGGAAATCTCTTTACCTACTCACTTGGAGGACATGAGTCTTCTGCACATACGCTGACGTTTGCAATCTATCTCCTGGCAGCTTTACCAGAGCAGCAAGCTTGGCTTATGGAAGAGATCGATGAGGTTCTTGGTGGCAGGCCAGATTGGAAGTCGCAGGATGCTTTCATGGATATCTTCCCTCGCTTGAAAAGGTGTCAAGCCGCCATGGTAAGTAGACCTGAATTCCCCTCCGGGGCGATTTTCAATATCAAGTCTGACACGCTTATAGAACGAGACACTCCGATTGTACCCTTCGGTCACAGTCCTTCCCAAATGCAGCGGGTCGAAAGCAACGACTTTGCTTGTTGGTAGCGAAGATCATCGCATCCCAGCAAACGCCAACGTCTTTGTCAACATGCCTAGCATTCAGGTACACCAACCCGTATGGGGAACCGATGCAATGCACTGGAAACCTAATCGATGGATCATGAAAAGCGTTGGCATGAAGGGTCTGGACAGCGAACAGCTCAAAGCACCTCCTGATGGCGCTTTTCTCCCGTGGAGCGAGGGGAAACGGGCTTGTCCTGGCAAGAGATTCTCCCAGGTCGGATTTGTTGCAGCACTTGCGACTCTCCTCTATAAGCACAGACTTGAAGTCATACCCAATGTTGAAGAAAGCCTCGAAAACGCTAGGGAAAGGGTCATGGAAGTTGTAAACGACACTTACGCCGTCATGACTGTCCATATGCACAAGCCTCTCTCTGTTAGAATCGGGGTTCTCAAGAGAAGCTAGAAAGCAGTATAGCTTCAGTTTGAACTATTTTACTTATTGCTTCAATGGATTACGAGTTACGATAACGTAGAACCCCACTTAATACATTCCCTTAGACGCCAGCTAGACGTAAGTTAGATGTAAGTAAGTTAGGTATATTCCTGGGATTGACATCCTTTTTGTTTTAATTGAGCTACTTCGGCGTCTTCAAATCTCTTTGGTTTACGTATGTACATAGGATCAAGTTGCATGTATAATTACAGATTGTTCTTAAATCGGCGATTTTCATGGATGACTTGGGCGACGAATACCTATAACGCTACACTAACAGTCTTCCGGGGTATGTTGTTGCGCTTTTTTGCTCTAAATTCAAAACTCTCATTCTCGTTATTATTATTGGATACACTATTTCCAGGGGTTGGCAAATCCTTGTTCCTTTGTCGCGGCGACTTTTCTGCCATTTACAGCACATCGGCGGAATTGTTCCTCCGACAACTTGGATCTTAACCATCAACCCTTGATACAAAAATTACGTGAGGCCGGATTAGACTGGATTCAGGCCCGGGTTAAGGCTAAATCGCAAAAGCCGGAGTCAGGCTTGCTCTATAAAGATCGGCTCTTCTGGCCAGTCTTTGAATCCCAGGACAACTGAATCGGTCCGTACCTAATCAATCCTCACATGCTCGGTAACCCCAAATATGTCAACCTTCATTACGTCTGCGAATATTGCGGCCACTATTGGGCTAGCCGCAACCATGATGGGGTCCATCGTCACGCTAAAACCAGAACTCGGCATCAAAATGTGGCACTTCGATATTGCGTCCTCCGAGGATTTCAAGGATCCAAAATCGAAAAATAGGAGCCTGATCTTGGACGAGCTACGCTTGTTCGCCATACGCGAATTCTTCATTGGAGCAAGCCTGTTTGCGGCAGCATACTTCGGCAACCACAAGACCTTAGCTGCGATGTGCTTGCTTGGGGCCCCGGTGGTCACTATTGATGGCATTGTGCAACGAAGACAGGCACCGAAGGCGGATTGGTGGGTTCACTTTGCGTTGGCGCCTGTGTTCGCTGGGTTAGGTGTTGCGTCGTGGAGACAGCAATGATTGAGTTCGCTTCCCTCGGGGCGCAGCTCTGGGTCATGTGGCGTGCTTGGCATAGAACAATGTGGTTGAGTCGAGCACGAGAAATTTTAGATCGTTGGTTGAGTTGACTAAATCTCAAGGTGAAGCACCTACAGAGGGGAGGGTTTTCCACGCGTTCGCGGCGGACACTTTTAGCTTTCAAAGGCATCAGCCATGGTTCGCACACTGTCAGGGGCTGACCGAACCGGTCGGGGCATTTAAGGCGGGTATATAAGCGCTAGCTTTGGTAATGCAAACTTTCATCTTTAGGCAATGTCCAGGTTCTCTTCCTCCTCCGCTAGCATATGATACTATGCTTGCGACCGGAACGACCTAAGTCCTTCCGCTTCCGCCTCTTCTGTTAGTCGTGCTTGTGATCCTCCATTCATTGCAGTTTGCGGTGCTGCGGTGTAAATAAAGACACGAACGATGTCATTGGGAGCCTACAGGCTACAGCCAAACCTGACCGCTGCCTAACAGATCATGAGCTATGGAAACATCTCGGGCATGTGCGTCTCCTTGGTAAAATGGGCAGGAAATCACAAACTGAAAGCTAGACTAAGGAAGGCTAACAACTAAACATTTGGCCTATTAAATCTAGGCGGTTTTCTTCTATCAATCCTACAGCCAGCTATATACTTCAAGCCCTCGGTGCCTTTGCCTCAAAGAGAAGCGTTGTCCCAACCATCTGCCAGTCTACGTACTTGAAACCGGACTTGAGTGGCTCAACTATGTCAGCTGCGTAATCTTTGTTATTGTGGAAAACGCCCAAAAGATTGTGCCAGAACATGAGGAACCTTCCAAAAGCATTGTGTTTCACTCCACCGCCTAATACTGTTGCACCAACCAGAACACCATCTGGTTTCAAAAGCCGACCTAGCCCTGCCATAGCCTCTCCTTTTCGCTTGGAAGTCCCAGGGAGGCAGTGCAACAATAACATACAAGAAATGACGTCGAATTGTCCGTTGCTACCCAAATGCAGAGATGACGGTAGTTGCGAGGTGTGGCGATCGCCGAGCACAAAGACGTCAGCTTGAACTGTGTCAACGAGGACGTCGGGATGTGCCAGTTGAATGCGGTGTTGAGCCTCGGCTAGAGGGTTCTGATTGATGTCGACCAGGACGATTGTCGAACCAGTAGGCAGAGGCGCACTCTGCATAAAATAGCCAGTGCCGACGCCGATATCCAGCAGTCTTGCATTAGGTTTGACAAGGGAGGAAACGTGCTTGCTATAGTGACCGGAGAGAACGTCTCCAGGACATCCCCAGGCTAATGGACAGTAGAAGCCGAGGACAAGGGTATCGTAGAGCCATCGTAGAAACAGTGGGAAATAGACAGCGTTGCCAAGGGTGCTTGCAGACATGGTGTGAGGAAGCGGACGGAATGTGGGGAATTGGAAGCTGTGAAGAGATTCTTGCTTGAGTCGGTTTCGCAGAGTTGACAATGTTCAGGGGCATCTACTTTGATATGAATCCCATCACGGCAATACTTCGTATGAACATTTGCTCTGACACATTGCAGTATAAGGTTCGAGTTGTGATGTTTTAGCCTGAATGTTGCTTTCTACTAACCGCGCGTGGCGGCAGGAGACTTCTGTCACGTCGGTAAGCGGATACCATTCCACGTTATCAGTCGAAAACCCTGATGGGAACACATTGACTATGCAGAAAGAAAGACTCAAGACACCCATTCAACGGACCGACGGATCAAACCGAATGGTATAAGCCTCGGCGATTAGGCCGTGCAGGTGACAGACTTTCTTCTTCAGGCAACTTTTGGTGGTTAGCGCCGGGTGTTTGGTGTTTAGGCCATATTAACTTTTACTACTATTCCACAAAAGCCGCTACCAGGACCCAGCACGGTAAATTTGGCGGAGTTCGAATCTTCAGACTACCAGTCGTAGTCTACGATCTCGATCGAGCAATTGAAATCCGATCGCTCGCACCTTTTGGCCCATCCGAATACCACGCTTGCCATTGTTGGAGTTCGATCAAGGTTGATGAGATAGCCGCTTCAGTTCCGACCGAACATCTGCCCGTTCTCGCGAGTTGGACTTTGATGGCTACGCCTTGTCGTCTGGAAAGCGGGAAACCTGCTTCCGGACTCCTTCGGATGGTCGATTTGGCGGTTGAGTGATTGACAACTGAACTCTGACGGAGCTGATTGACGTCGCAATTGTTTGAAACCTTTTGCAGCAGCGGATTCGCGATTCCTTGTCCAAGACTCGGTCAATTCGATCCTTAAACGGCCCAAACCTTCTCAATCTCAGCTGGGCTCTCTCTAGTCAAGGTAGTTATCTTGATGTAGCATGTTGTTGTCAGTCATGTCAAGAGCGACCAGGAACGCGATTGGACTTTTTGGTGGAGAATCAATCAAGGAAGTCCTCGAGACTGGATTAGCCGCAAGTGAAGTCTGGCTGTAGCAACCAATTGCATTTCCACTCTTCCGTAAATATCAATTTTCCATGAATGTGACGTTCTCAAGTTTGTGTTGACTTCCGCTTGAAACCCTTCTTCGCCTCTTTTCCGTGATCATTGGACTATCCTGCATCAAGAAACTTCGGCAAGAGCTGCTGCTAAATCAGTATAGAAAGGACCGAATCCGGTAACGTCTTGTTCATGAACAATCCTAAATCTATGAGGAATCACCGTTATATCACTCAATTGTGGATGCCAATCCATAATCAACAACAACAAAGTTAACTTATCAGTATGGATACAATGAAAGACCAGATACAGCCTATCGCCATAGTTGGCTTGAACCTCAAGTTCCCCGGAGACGCTACTTCGGCGGAATCCTTCTGGGAGATGCTTGAGAATGCAAGGAACGCATCAAGCAAGGTGCCCTCAACCCGCTTCAACGTCGATGCATTCTATCATCCAGACCCTACACGTCTCGACAGTGTGAGTTATTGCCTTTGTTTCAACGTACGTGGACAACATCTGATTGCTCTGGAAACCAGATGCGTGTTCAAAAGGCCCACTTCATGAAAGAAGATCCGCGGGCCTTTGATGCTGCCTTCTTCAACATGTCGCCAGCAGAAGCATCCATCTTAGATCCCCAACAGCGCGGGCTCCTCGAGGGCACATATCACACCTTTGAAAATGGTATGGGCCCATAGATGTTCTTGATCAGGGTATGAATCACTAATCGAGAATTTATGGAATCATACAGCTGGCTTAGCAATGGAGAGAGTTGCTGGGTCCCGCACCTCGGTTTTCTGCGCCTCTTTCGGCCGCGATAGTGATGCTATAGTGGCCCGAGATCCAGAGTTCCAATCCCGGTACCAAGCAACGTCCTCAGGGTCGTCTATGTTGTCAAACCGCATCAGTCATTTCTTTGACCTCCGAGGTCCATCTTTGACGGTGGACACCGCATGCTCCAGCGGACTGTACGCCCTTCACCTAGCGTGTCAGAGCATACTCAACGGGGAGTCCGACATGAGTCTAGTCTGTGGCTCCAACACCTATCTCACTCCCGAGTGCATGACTTTCCCCTTGAGCAACGCCGGCTTTCTATCTCCGGATGGCCGATCCTATAGCTTTGACCACAAAGCCAACGGTTACGCTCGTGGAGAAGGATACGCATTCGTCCTTCTCAAGCCGTTGTCCAAAGCTCTGGCGGACGGAGACATTATTCGATCGGTGATCCGTGCCACAGGCGCAAACCAAGACGGGCGGACGCCGAGTATCACTCAGCCCAGTGCTGCCGCTCAGGTTGAGCTCATTCGGAGAACTTATGCTTCTGGAGGACTGGACCTTTCCGAGACCGAGTACGTGGAAGCTCACGGAACCGGCACACCAGTCGGTGATCCAATCGAGGTTTCCGCGATTGGAGAGGTTTTCAGACCTCATAGGTCTAGCCCGCTCTGGATTGGGTCTGTGAAGAGCAATATTGGCCATCTCGAGGGTGCTAGTGGCCTGGCGGGTTTGCTCAAGACAGTCTTCTCGCTCGAGAGAGCCATTATACCTCCCATCGCGGACTTTGAAAAGGTGAACCCAGCAATCGACGTCAATGCGCTAGGCGTTCAGTTTCCAACACGCTCTACGGCTTGGCCTGCCACTCCTTCTGGGATCCGCCGGGCTTCAGTAAGCTCGTTCGGGTATGGCGGATCTAATGCACATGTCGTATTGGATGATGCATACAACTATCTTCGGATTCGAGGCCTTACTGGAAACCACCTATCCGTGGCCAAGTCGAATGACTCTCACAAGCCATGTGTTGCGAACAGCAGCACCTCAATTGGAACAGTCGAAGATCAGGCTCCAGACGCCGGCATCTCTGATTCCGTTTCAGATGTTTCTGATGATAGTGGCGTCATCATTGGCTCTGAAGACGATGCTGAACATAGCTCCATCTCGCTTCTCACATTCTCAGCCGCCGATGAGGATGGTCCACGAAGACAGGCCTCGGCGTTGCAAGATCACGTCGCTACCCAGCAAATTTCGCGAAAGAGAGCACAGAGAGTTTTCCTTGCCGACCTAGCCTACACACTCTCTCAGAAGAGCATCCTCAACTGGCGAGCATTTGCAGTGGTCAAGTCGGAAGCGAACATCGGCAGCAATCTCACAGAGATCCTCTCTCCCGTTACGTCGGTCTTGTCATCGAAGAGGCCAGAGCTCAACTTCGTCTTCACAGGCCAGGGAGCTCAGTATCCACGCATGGGTCTCAAGCTTATCCGCTACGAAGTATTCCGGCAGAGTCTGATGGACTGCGACGAGTATTTGCGGTCTCTTGGTTGCGAATGGTCCGTCCTCACCGAGCTTCGGAAGGCCCCGGGATCGTCCAGAATTCAGAAGCCTGAAATTGCACAGCCCCTTTGTACCGCTCTGCAGATTGCCACTGTCGACCTTCTCCGAAACTGGGATATCATCCCACAATCCGTATGCGGCCACTCATCGGGAGAAATCGCGGCAGCGTATTGTGCTGGAGCCCTTGATTGCCAGTCTAGCTGGAAGGTTGCATACTTTCGAGGCGTCTTGGCAGGTCGATTGGCATCTGATAGCTCTCAGAGCAAGACGACGATGATGTCTGTTGGGCTCGGCGAGGCAGCCGTACGCCCCTATCTTTCAAGCAGGCTCTCGGTAGCTTGTATCAATAGTCCAGCCAATGTGACGGTTTCAGGGCCGACCAAAGAGATCCAGCTCCTATTTGAGAGACTGGAGAAGGAAGAGATCTTCGTCAAAAGGCTTCCTGTTGATGTTGGATATCACTCTCCGGCTATGGAAGTCGTCGCAGCCGAGTATCAAGATCGAATCCGTGGCATTGGCGCACCTACTGGCTTAACCGCCGAGAGATTACGCAAGGAGTCTCTAGTATCTCTCTACTCATCAACCGAAGGAAAACTCATATCTTTCGAGGCTGTGACGAGCCCTTCGTACTGGGTAAAGAACCTTGTCTCTCCAGTTCTCTTCTCAGGTGCTCTCGAAGCCATGACCGGATCGAAACATGGAGGGCAACACTTCCTCGTGGAAATTGGTCCGCAGTCAGCTCTCAGACGACCTGTGCAAGATACCTTGACTCCTCACCTCGGCAACAAGGCTGCTAAGAAATGGCAGTACGTCAGCGTCCTGAAGCCCAACGTCGATGATGATCGATCATTGATGGAGGCTCTCGGCAGTCTCTGGGCAGCAGGCATCCCGATTTCTTTGTCCAAGCCAAACCAGGAGTCGACTCAAATATCGCGGAAACCGAAGATCCTGGTGGACCTTCCTTCATACCCCTTTAATCGGTCTCGGGAGTTCTGGGAGGAGAGCAGACTGAGTCGCAACTACGCAAAGCGTCCGTACCGTCGGCATGCTCTTCTAGGCATCAGAGACCGTGACTGGAATCCTGAAGAGGGGAGTTGGAGGCACTTGATCCGATCCCAAGAGAACCCCTGGATCCTGGATCATGCCTTGAACGGCTCACCGCTCTATCCCGGCTCAGGTATGCTTGTCATGGCCATCGAAGCCGCCCGTCAACTTGCCGCACCAGTTGAAAGTCGCATCCGCGGCTATCAGCTAGACAATGTACGCTTTTTGAGAGCCATTGATGTGGACGACTCAGAGCGCGGCACAGAGGCAAAGATTGTGATGCGGCGCCGTCGACAGGCCACCAACACAAGCGGACAACAGCTCTGTTACGACTGGAGGATTTTTGGGACCAATGGCGACGACTGGAACGAATGCGCTTATGGAAGCATCAAAGTCGAACTTGAACCGGAGCAAACCTTGGGATTTGAACAGGCCGCCGCTTCTGAGGCACGTCGGTCCCGCTTTGAGACGTCTATCAAAGAGCAACTCCAGGCAGACGTCGACAAATGCCGTTTGGTCGTGCACCCCAGCCAACTGTACAAGAACATGTCCAAGCGATCAGGCTTCGATTACGGACCGTACTTCCAGTTGCTGAAGAACATTTCCTACGATAGGGAAGGTCATGCTACAGCCATGCTTTCAGCGAGAGATTACACTTCAAGCATGCCGTACGCTGGAGAAGACCCGTGCGTGGTTCATCCAAGCACGTTGGACGCAATTTGTCACCTTCAGATGGTCGCCCTATCTCAAGGTGGATGGAACGCCGTCCCTACGATGATGTTCTCTCACCTGCGAAAGCTGTGGGTGTCGCAGAAACTGTTCGTGGCACCTGGGAACCCCCAGCTGCGAGCTGCAACTCGAGAGACTATGCGCGCTTTCCGAGAAGCTGAGTGCAGGACACTGGTCACCTTTGCCGATTCCAATGAGCCCGTTCTCGTCCTGGATGGTCAGCGGGGTACAGCCATCACAAGTCTCAAATCAGCCGACACAGCTGCTACTTCACAAGGCGATTCGGGCCAGAAGTTCTATGGTCTCGACTACAAACCCGACCTGTCTCTCCTGACTGTAGATGCCAAGAGTCGCTACTTCGCGGCTGCGTTCAAAGAGGATACCCGATGCCGCGCCCCTCCGAGAGAGCTCATCGATCGTGCCGACGCTATTGCTCTGCACTTCATCGAGGCGGCTCTGGAGCAAATTGACAAGGAAGATAAGCCGCTGCAATTCGATAATCACTTGGCTCGGTATGTCAAGTGGATGCGGCGCGTGCACCTGAATCGGGATACGTGGACGCTAGAGTCCCGGGGCCTAAGTCACCTCCGTATCGAGGAGATTCTGGATGAAGCCGATGGCGAGCCTACGCAGAGACTGACCAAGAAGGTTGGCGAGCATCTGCACGGCATCCTCAAAGGAGAAGTAAACGCGCTGCAGGTCATATTCGAGGGCAATCTAGCCAACGAATTTTATCACTCTGACATCTTTGCAACGAACAACAGCAAGATGGGAGCGTACATCAACGTCCTCGCCCACGCGAATCCAAAACTCCGTTTGTTGGAAGTCGGAGCTGGGACCGGGAGCTCAACCGGCCGGATTCTCCCTTACCTGGCTGCGCAAGGCGTTGAAGGTGGTCCTCCAGAGGCTGTACGCTTCGGTGAATACTGCTACACAGATATCTCGGCTGGTTTCTTCGAAAAGGCGCGCGAGCGTTTTTCTTACGCGGCAAGCCACATGACGTTTAAGAAGTTGGATCTTGAGAAGCATCCTAACAAACAAGGGTTCGCCGAAGGGACTTATGATGTCGTCGTTGCAGGCAATGTGTTGCATGCCACAAGCGACTTGATACAGACACTTCGGTATGTCAGGGGTCTTCTACGGCCTGGCGGTGTGCTTGTACTGGGAGAAACAGTCAATCTGGACAACGTCCGTGATGGCCTCATATTTGGTCTGTTGCCTGGCTGGTGGCTGCGCGAGGGACAGTGGTGGTCTACCAATAAAGAGTACCAAGACCAAGGCCCCCTTCTGACGGAAGAGCAATGGACCACGGTTCTCAAGGAGGCTGGTTTCCCGGGAATTCAAATGGCTTTCCGCGACCATGAACAAAAGCCACATCACCGAGTCTCCATCATCATCACTACCCGCCCGGAGAATGAGAGCCTCTCAAGCCAACCGTCGGGAGTCGATTCGCCCTACAGGATCATCATAGACCCTTCTTCTGCGATGCAAACCTCTGTAGCCGAGTCGCTCAGAAGCCACCTTGTCTCAGGCTGTCAGCCTAGAGGGGCAGACATATCCAGCATAGTGGACATTTCATCAGGAGATACCAAATTGAACAGAGACGACACAGTCATCAGCTTGTTAGAGCTCGATGCTTCAGTGTTGTCATCCGTCGCCGCAAGGGAGTTCGAAGCCATCAAGAAGATTTCCCTTGATACTAGGTTCACGCTTTGGTTGACTTATGGAGGAGCTCCAAAGGCCACCAATCCCGCAGCCGAGGTCGCCATTGGATTCGGTCGAAGTGTCTGTTCAGAGAGAGGAGACCAAGGCTTCGTGACATTGAACTTGTCCTGCCGGCCTGAGACCCCTATGGCTGTCACTAGCGCCGTCGACAGCATCATGCGTGTTGTTGAGAGATTGCACAACGTTTCTTGCGCTGGTACTGACAACGAGTCCGAGTTCTCGGAAGACAATGGCTTGATCTGCATTCCTCGCCTTATGCCTACACCTCATATGGATCAAGCGCTTTCCATCAAGCAAAATGGCGACAGGCTCAAGTCGTTCACATTCAACAGGGATGGTCCGAAGCCGCACATCAGTATCACTATTGAAACTCCTGGGCTTCTTGACACCATCTTCTACGCAGAGAACGCCGAGACGGGCAAGGAGCTCCAAGCAGGTGACATTGAGATCGAAGTCAAGGCAACCAGCATGAACTTCAAGGATGTCATGATTGCTCTGGGGCAGATTCCGGGGCGAAGCTTTGGATTTGACGGCGCTGGCGTTGTCTCTAGAGTCTCGCGGGAGAGTAACCTTCGCCCAGGCGACTCGGTGTTGTTCTGCAGCTCTACTGGAGGAGGCTTCGGAACATTTGTGCGCTGCCCCGAACTGCAAACAGAGAAGCTCCCTCCAGGCATGTCTTTCCAAGTGGCTGCCGCAATTCCGGCTGTGTGGTCTACAGTGGTGTACTCTCTGGACCACATAGCACGTCTCAGCCGTGGTGAGACTGTTCTCATCCACGCAGCCGCTGGAGGTGTCGGACAGGCAGCCGTGCAACTTGCTCAGTTGCGAGGTGCCAAAGTCTTTGCGACTGTGGGGAGTCAGACGAAGCGTGAGCTTGTTAAGCAGCTCTTTGGACTCTCGGACGACCAAATCTTCAACAGCCGTGATGAAACTTTTGCCCAAGATGTGCTTCATGCCACGGGAGGTCGAGGTGTGGACGTGGTGCTCAATTCACTAGGCGGCGAGCTCCTTCGTCAGTCTTGGGAATGCATCGCACCCTTCGGTCGCTTCATCGACATTGGCAAAGCGGACATCATCGCTAACAATACTTTGCCGATGGGACCATTTAATCGAAATGTGACGTTCTCTGCGGTTGATCTAGTCGTGGTTCATGAAGAGGCAAAGCCTCTCATGAAGAAGATCCTGCAGGATGTCACGAAGCTGTTCGAGGAGAACCCTCACCTACACGAACCCAAGCCGCTTCACATATTCTCACCTTCAAAGCTCGAGGATGCAATGCGCTTCCTCCAGGGGGGTAAGAATACCGGCAAAGTCATCATCGACTACGCTTCCGCGACCGACACAGTAGAGTACCGACCTTCGCAGCTTCAGCACGGGTACAACTTCGACGCGAATGCCACGTACGTTATCAGCGGCGGCCTGGGTGGACTTGGTCGTGAGATTGCTCGGTGGATGGTCTCGCGCGGGGCCCGGAACCTACTTCTCCTCTCCTCACGTGGTGCCGCAGGACGGCCAGACGCTCTCAAGCTTATTCAAGAGCTCGAAGCCACCGATGGAGTCACAGTGCTCGCGCCGGCATGTAACGTTGTCGACCGGGGAGCGGTCGAGGATACCCTCCTGAAGGCATCACGAGAGCTTCCACCGATCAAGGGCTGCATACAGGCCGCCATGGTACTCCGCGATGACATGCTTGCCAAAATGTCTCATTCGATGTTCCATGAGACTCTCGGGCCTAAGCGCGCTGGATCATGGAATCTGCACCAGCTACTGCCCGATGACATGGACTTCTTTGTCTTGCTCTCGTCATTCTGTGGCATCATGGGCAATCGCGGACAGAGCAACTATGCAGCTGGAAATGCATTCGAGGATGCTCTTGCGCGCCATCGAGTGGCACAAGGCCTCAAGTGCGTCTCGGTCGACTTGGTGCTCGTCGCTGAGGCCGGTTGGGCCAATGTCAACTATGAGTCCGTGACGCAGAGCCTCCGCGCCGGTCATGACAATCTCACACAGGCACAGCTGATGGAGTTGCTTGATTTGCTCTGCGACCCAGGCTACGACTGCGCAAAGCCTGGCGCAGCTCAGGTCGTCAACATGGTGGACAGCGCGGCGGACCTGGCGCGCATGACACAACAAGGGCTCTTGGATTGGATGCAGAAGCCCATTTTCAGCAATCTTCTCCGTATGGGCGAGACCGAGGCTAGTATCAATGGCCGTGGGGCTGGTGGAGGCAATGGTGATGGAAGCGACGACGTCAACCGCCTGGCTCTGGTGAAGGCCGCGCCTGACTTGCCGACTGCCAGCGAGATCGTAACCCAGGGTCTCGTACAAAAGCTGGCCAAATCTCTGTCTGTGCCGATTGATACGCTTGACGTCGGGAAACCGGCGTACGTTGTTGGTGTTGATTCCTTGATTGCGGTTGAGGTTCGGTATTGGTTCATGAAACAGCTCCTTGTCGAGGTGCCTGTATTCGAGATTCTTAAGAACCAGAGTATCACGGATCTGTGTCAGCAGGTGGCTTCCAAAGTTCTGCAAAGCAGCTCGAAGTAGACTTGCGTGTTATAAGATAGTTGAACGGGTATGAGCGTAATGACTGTCGACTCATCTCAATCTGACCTGTACTTATCTCAACCGATCAAAATGGCCTTTTTCTGTGAACGTCGAAATGGGCATCATGACAATCTGTCTCTCTGAATCGCAACGCTGGCTCTTCACAGGCAGTCTGACAATTGCCAAAGATCCCGGATATACGGCCAATTCTAGGGGCATCCCATTCTCAATGAGGATTGGTCAAAGACGGCAGAGTAAGACGACGAGACGACCTTCCTAATTAGGTACTCGGGACCGCTGGAACACTCATGGTCCTACTACGCCGCGAAGCATCACCAGTCGCCTCATAAAGGTCAGGTTTAATCTCATATCGCGACTGAGTCTTGAGACACCAATTGACTAAAGCTCAATCGAAACTTATGACAGAACTCAATTGACACAGCCAATATGACACGACGTCTCATCGAACGACCAGCCCAGATCTACTCTGCGTCTCTGGGTGGCTCATTCAGGCCAATTCACACCGGCACGGACACCGAGCTGCCCGTTAGCATCTCCAAGAAAACAACTCTTACTATCATCACCACCTCCCTTCTCATCCCCGGCGACGGCGAACCCATCAAAGATGCTGCTCTCGTCATATCATCAAAGCTCATCGCCTGGGTCGGCCCGCAGTCGGCAATCCCCAAAGAGTACACCGACTCTCCTCACAAGTCCTACTCCACCCCATACCTGATGCCAGGTCTCTGGGACTGTCACGCTCACTTTGGGGGAGAGTCTCCCGACGCAGGATCCAGTGGTGATCCCTACCAGGTCTTTATCACAGAGCACCCCGCCGCATCCGGCGCCCGTCTCACGCGCATGTGCTGGCTGGCTCTGCAGAGAGGGTACACGTCCCTCCGCGATGTGGCAGGCATGGGCTGCGAGATCTCCCGCGCTATCGAAGATGGAACCATTGTGGGACCTAACGTCTACAGCTCCGGCGCGTGTATCAGCCAGCTGGCTGGCCACGGTGACATTTTCTCTCTCCCGGCTGGAGATGTGCTGTTGAACTTGGGCGTGTCGCAAGTCACTGCAGGACACTTTGGCACTGCATCGAGCATGATCGTGGACGGCGTTGATGAGTGTCGCCGTGCCGTGCGTTTGCAGATTCGGCGAGGGGCAAAGTGCATCAAGGTCATGGCATCTGGCGGCGTGATGTCTCGTGACGACAATCCGCTTTACGCGCAGTTCAGTCCCGCGGAACTCGAGACGATTGTGGAAGAGGCAAACAGACAAAATCGCGTGGTCGCGGCGCATGTCCATGGCAAGCCCGGCATCATGGCCGCCATCAAGGCTGGCGTCACGACGTTGGAGCATGTCTCGTTTGCCGACCGCGAGTGTATCGATCTTATCAAGGAAAAAGGCATCATTTACATTGCCACACGTCTCGTCATGGACTTGCTGCTCGGCACCGGAGGGAAGGGGATCCCTCCTACAGCTTGGGAGAAGGTGAAGCTGTGTGCCACAAACCACTTGGCGGCATACAAGATGGCCATCGAGGCCGGTATTCCGATTGCCCTAGGTACAGACACGGGGCCCGGGTTCAACATGGCAATGGAGTTGGAGGCGGCCGTGAAGGCAGGGATGAGCAATTTGGAGGCTATCAAAGCGGCGACCGCGAATGGACCGCTCAGCGTGGGTGGGCAAGCTCCCAAGACAGGACAGCTGAAGGCTGGATACGAGGCAGATGTTCTTGGTCTGTTGGAGAACCCGGTGGAAGACGTCAGGGTGCTGCAAAAGATTGAGAATGTCGCATGGGTCTGGAAGGGGGGTTCTCTCTTCAAGGGGCCTGGTGTTGGACCCTGGGGTGAGGATCCTACTTCCTTTGACGAATGGTCTGCGGCCACATATATTCGTTCGTAGAGCCCGGACAATGCCTTCTTTCTTTTTCTTATCTCCGTTTTTTTTGCTCCTTCATGAAGCCGGAAGAGCTTTGGTTGTGTGTGCTGATGCGTAAACTGTTAACTTCAAGATCTCCTGGAAAAGACACGATTCTTTTGGTCGTGTCAACCGTCGGTTTCCTCAAAGCCCCTTTTAGTCCAACCCCGTGGAGGAACACTCTAGGTTTTCCGCAACTTGATCCGAATTGTTGAGTTGTGACGTGGTCTTTGATCTTTCCAGCCTGTAGCCCAAGTAACTTTCAAGCCGGGCCTAAGGCTCTGATAATGACGGATATCCACGTTTGAAGATCCCAGAATCTTTGACATCGAGACAAAGACATCACCAGCTTCAGCTTGTCGCCCATCTATCGCTGGGGCTCTGCTTAAAGCCACAATACTGTATGCCTCTCCGAGAGGGTACCCGAGTTCAGAGTTAAAAAGGCCTCGTTATCGCTTCATCTAGATGACAGCGTCTTCATCCTCATCTCAACCTCATCCAAGATTCTCTTTCTCACTCCCACCAACGAATCGTTCATCTGGAATTCAAAGCACCGCATCCAGTATGTCCCCTGATATCGAAGATAGGCTAGGAAATCTCGACCTCTATCCCGCGAGCTACTTCATGCCCATCCGCCACGGCGGCCAACGCCCGGTCAAAGTCGCAGGCTACACCCTCAGAGCGCTCGCCGAAACCTGCCGCAGCGAAGAGAGATACAATGCCGCCCGGGAATCTCTCATGAGCATCATCCACATTTTCCACGAGGAGATTGAGATGCTCCGAATTGCCGAGTCGCCTGCTACAAAGCCAACTGAGCAGGGGTATCTCAATGGCTGGGAAGATGCCTTGCAAACTGTCATCGGTGTTCTCAATTATTGCATCGTCAAGCCGGTATCTCAATCTTCCCCCAACGCTCTCCCCGAGAAGCCGCAACAGCTTGATCGCCCTTTGCAGTCTCTCAGGGTAAAGAAGTCGGCAGAGATGTACGCATGCCGCCCGCTTCTGAGTCTGGAAAGCCTAGGACAGGCTCCCGATGGTGCCAAAGGCAAGGGGCCGATGACACCTGATGGAGTTGACATCCGCCAGGAAGAAAGTGCTGCCCGCTGGCTGGAGTTCATCGTCGGCGACGAGTATCATCTCCCAAACAAGCACTCATCTCTGGATATCCCCTCCACCGAAACTAACGGCTCGGGCGTCAGCACGCCCTCAACGACAAGCAGCGGCTCCTCGGCCCAGAATCTCCTCTCGTTCCCATCCAGTCAGGACACCGAGAGATCCGCCTTGGCCGAAGAAAACCAGCTGACTCCCGATGCTTTGGAATTCATCCGCAGCATCGACACCATCCAGATCCTGCTCCACTACGAGCGACAATGCCGCATCTCGGAGCGCAGAATCGCAGCAGAGCTGATCAAGTCGAGCGTCCTCCGCCAGGCCATCTTTCAGGACCGTATCGGCCGCATGCCCAGGTCCGAGGGTGCGAATGGCCGTCGCAAGGGAGATGTTGAGGATAGCATCAACGATCCGTTCTTTGGCCAGACGATGTACGAGAAGGCTGTGGGACAGGTAAAGTCGCTTTTCCGGCGTTGGGGTGGTACAGCCTGGCAAGATGACACAGAGACGGAGGCAGATACGGAGACTGACACTGATACTGACCTCAAGGAAGCAAGTACACAAGCTGTTGATGGGCGCGCTGGCTCGATTGGTGAGAGTCTCATGGGAGAGTACGGCTATCTCGAGCCCAGCCTTGCATGCCTCAACCCGGAGTCAAATCTCTCGTTTTCAATGGTGCGGGACCCTTCGTACCAGCTGGGTTATCAGGGAACAGAAGCTTTCGTGCCAGGTGTACAAGCCCCTATTTACCAAACCTTGTTCATGAGATCGCCAGACTTGACGCCGAAGTCTGGAAGCTCATGTGATGCATCTAATCTTCTCTCATCATCCGAATACCGCCCGCTGCCTAGTCAATCGGATCTCATGGTAGAGGCAAATAGCCCTGAGGACGCCTGGGATCTACTCTCATCCTCACAAGACTCGCTGGCGAGCATTGAGCAGGTACCTGCTTCCAGGGAACGAGAACAGCTCAAGCTTAGAAAGTCGCCCTTCCTTGATTATGGCTCGCACACTCCGAAGAAGAATTTCGGAGGAGCCAGTTACAGGGCGCCACTCGCGGCCTCGCGGACGAGTAAGGACGGTTCTCAAGGAACGTCAGCAGAGCCAGATTGTCCTGTAAGTTCCACGGGTCATCCACCTCCTTCCGAACCCTGGACTGTCGTGTGCCAATGCAAGGGATGTCAGGAACGGGCTTCTCGCGATCAGGTTTGAACGATGGTCATGCTGATTTTGGGGGGTATCAAATTTCGTATGTATTTGGGCTAGGTTGTTGGGTGGTACTTTGGTTTCCAGACTTGTGAAATTGTTAGTTGGATGAATTTTCCAGGAATGCAGTAGACTGGTTTACTCACGAAGCATGGCCATGACTGCTCCTTCTGAACCTTTTCTCCTTTTGCCCGTGAAGTGCCCCTCAACGCCATCCCGGGCTTTCACATCCCTCAACCTTACTCCCGTATCGTCACCCAACGCCTATGCAATGGTTTCCGTCTCCATATCTCCCTCCTCGGGCTTCTCGGCAGTCTCCTCAGCATCTGTAGCAAGCAAAGTCAGCTTAGCTCGCCCCCTACTTCAAGCGTCTCATTCCGCCCTCAAGTCTTGTCCACAGTAGCACGAAGAGCACTCACCCTGCATGACAACCTCTCCCTCGGCCTCCATCTTCCTCCTCATCGCATGGGCAATCTTCTTCTCCATCTTCTTGGCCTTCTTCTTGCTCATGGGCGCATTGGGACCGCTGGTGGCCATCAGACCGGGCCTCGCGCCGCGCATGGTATCCGTCCTCGCAATCTTGTGCTTGTTCGCCTCGGACTTCTTGCGGCGGGCAATCTTGGCGCCGAGGGCCTTGTTGGCCAGGCGGTTCTTGGAGGGACCGTTGGGGTTCTTGACGGACGGCATGGTGGCGGTGGTGTTTGGTGTCGTCGAAAGGGTTGAGGTATTCGACGTAGGGAGAGGGAGAGGGAGAGGAGAGACGGTGTCGAGGACGAAATGTCAAAACTGGGCAGCGGATGCCATGCACTGGAGCGTCGCTCTGGGATTTTTTAAAGTGGGGCACGAGGCGGGATGCAGGTTCGGGGTCCAGGCCTGCCCCGCCAAGGTAAGGTCGCCCCTCGCCGACCCCACATCCCTCACCGAGGTCGGTGTACACCAAGGTGAAGCCAGACCTGGAGGGAGTAAGGTAGTAAGACGCGACTCTGTGGCAACACTTGTATGCCGCTCGGTCTTTCGGCAAGAAAGCCAGAACAGAATACATGATGCCCAAAACGGCTTGTTGAGATATTACTGTATTTCTATCTGCCATATCTACTCGGTAAACTGTACCTTATATCGTGTTAGGTCCGAGCAAATGAAGGTTCAAGATGTCAAACTGCAAATCGAGATTCTTGTCCTATTGAGACGCTTTCCTGCCCATGAAATGTGCTGCAACCTGGATCCAAACGCCGAACCTGAAATGCGATATGCCCTTCCCATCTATTCAATCAACGCCAATGAAGACTACTCTTTTACATTTATCACCGCGCCACTCTGTCACTGTTCTTGCCAATGGTGCTCGGACTGCTAGGGCTTCCCTCGTCATCAACTTCGTCCTTCAGGCCTTTGCGAGCCTCGTCGTCGTCGTCGTCGCTCATAAGGCCCTCGAGCTCGAATTCCTCCGCATCACGCACTTGACGGGTTTCACCGGGGCGACCGTTGGCCATGGGCACACCATTCGCCAGGTTGACCTTGCCTTCGGTGTTGGTGTTACGGTCGAACAGGTGGATGAGCATCATGGTGAAAAGGAAGAGAAGGAATGCGAAGGAGTAGAGGATAAGGATATACGACACGTGGTCGAGACCCGAGTTGGCGACAAGTTCCATCTGCTCTTCAGTGGCACCCATGAAGAGGAAGCCAGAGGCGTACAAAAGCTACAGGGCATTAGATAGTGCACAAACAACGGTGTTTGAGTGATGAATGACTTACGAAGACAGGAATGAACTGCCAGCTGTTGGTTTGGCGTCCATCGGCAGAGACGCCAACGCCGTCCTTGACAACGAAGGCAACTTCAATAACACGGGTAATGCCAACACCCATCAAGGTCTTGCCAAACATGCTGTGGGTCATGGCGCTGATGGGAAGGTCCTGGGGATGCGCAGACATGGCCCATCCAGTGACACCAATGACGAAGCCGGGAATGAAGTTACGCTTGGGGTTTCCGTCGCGGTCCCGGCTGAGCCAGATACCAACAAGACCAGCACACCACCAAATGATACCCATGGTTGTATGTTGCCAGTCGTTCCTGACCCACTCGGTGCCCCATCGATGCTCGGTGAAGGTGTTCACGCAGCCCCATGCCGCGATAACAATGCTGTCAAAGAATTCCTGGGATCGGCCACTGCGTCGCACCCACAGCTGTCCAACGAGGAGAAGCAGGGTCAAGATGATTCCGTAAGCAATGAAGGCGCTACCCATGATGAAATGCGCCAAGCACTGGCCGAGATGGTCGCCCTGGCAGAAACCCAGCGAGGTGATGCCGCCAAACAAGAATTGTGTCCAGGCCAAGACTGGCGAGGCCTTGCCCAAAATGCTGTGGGCGGGCTTGATGAAGCGGCGGATACGACCGTTGATGCCCTTCTCGAGATGCAGTCTGAGGTAAATGCCCAAGCCGACCTGAGAGGCCATGATGATCATTAGCCAGTTGGCGAAGGAGGCATGGACGTTATGGGCAACGAATTGTCTTCCGCCATGCATGTGGCCGAGGAAATATCCAACAATGGCGAGGGCGGAGCCGAGGACTTGAGTCGGAACATGCCAGCGGTTCTTGGTCATCTAAAGGGAGGCAATCGTTAGCAACTCTTGGAAGTTCAGAAACTTGTAGACCGGCTAGGATCGCCACTTACTCCCAAGACCATGCCGACGGGGAAGATGACCCCGAAGGCCAGCATCATGATGAAGATATGAATCCATAGTATTGTGTCCTGCGATTGTCCTCAATTAGCATTCCTGGCCTTTTGTTTCTCGTGTTTCTCGGAGGTGTTTTAAGAGGTCGGGCATTTTTTTTTCTCAAAGGTAGTCTGCATGCGTGCAGTCTGTTGGTTCGGTGAGGTGGTGATGGTCGCTTACGATGGGTTCCTGCGAGACGGTCTCGCCCTCTTGGATGTGGCTGACGCCGTGTTCGTGACCGAGAGCCATGGGGAGGGATGTGAGGATGTATGCAGCAGCAGCGAGTGTCTTGAAGGAGGAGAAAGACTTGAGCGGCAACGAGGCCGTAAAAGAGTCGAGTCGCGCCATGACGGGCGTTTCGAAATAGCAGAAGCGTCCCCTGTGCTGCTGGGCCTTGGTGTGCTGGGCTTGTCGGGGCGCGCACTGGAGCCAGACGTGTCACAGACTTGAGCCTGCTGGAGTGTTTGGAGCGGGGCGAGCTTGAGGATGTCGCAATGCAATTGGCGAGGTTCGGACGAAGTGTCGAGGATGGTGAGGTAAGGTAAGGTAAGCAACAATAGGGACCGGACGAGACGAGACGGGTGGGCGGCAAGGTACGCTGTAGAGCAAGCGAATGTCTACGGGGGAGGTTGTAGCGTAGCGGTACTGGTGCAATGAGGCGCGTGGGGACGGTCGCGGGAAGGGGTCTGAGGGTTTCGATCGGTCGGTCGGTCGGTCGGTCAGGCCAAGGCTTGAAGAGGTCGGTCGTTACCGTGGGTTAGGACAAGGTAAGGTTGGTGTGGGAGTGGAGGGAGGGAGGGAGAAGCTATCTTGGGACGGCGACGGGACCCTTGGACGCAGGCAGGCCTCCTCTCCTATGGTGGTGTTTTGTCGGACGGAGAGGATATTGGGGGGCGATATGTCGTGCAAATAGAGATATGTAGGATGCAAAAGAGAGAATTGCGAAAGAAGAAGAATGAGGCTCACGGCTGGGCTGGGCTTGAAAGAAAAGGAGAGACAAGCGCCAAATTGGAAAAGACCCGGTCGTCGTGTCCATTAGATTGTGGCTTCGCTGATGGACCGGACACTGCGAGACCCGACCTGGACGGCCTACCTATCCGTACATACCTCAAAGTACCTCTCCGTGGGCAGGTAGGGTACGCATACGTATTTCGTACGAATACATGGAGGCGAGCCGGAGGCTTCGGTAACGCCCATATTGCAAGTGGGGTCGACCACCAGAAGGTATCTTTACACGCATATTTGGCTGGAGTGTACTTCGCCGGGGAATCCGTCACTCAAACTGCCCGCCCGTTGCGATGGAAGTGGGAGGGACAACATTGACCAGGCCTGGGCAGATTACGCGGGGGATGATACAAAGTATCCATTCATATTGAACTGTATTGCATTGTACCTTTAGTCCTCTTGTTGTCTACTCGAGCAGTTGCTGACGGCCTCACACCTGCCTTCTATTGCTGTTGCAGTGCTTGTGACTTGTCCGCTCCTTCTCTACAACTCTGGGACTCTGCAGACGGGACCCGGGAGTGCAGGTGGCAGCTGCTCCCTCCTGCCCTGCACGTTCCCCATCCCATCCAGGTCCTTCCCATTCGTCAGCCAGGTACGTAGCGCACTTTCCCATCGTGGCATAACAGCATTGAGCGCATTTCCATTGGTCAAGACAGGCATTTACCCCCTCTCTTCAGTGGACCCTCTTAGAAATGCCCAGTCAAAAGGAAAAGGAAAAAAAGTTGTTCGCCCATTTTGTTGTTCCCCGTCGCCGACTTTCCGTTCCAGGTTCGCCGGTCCGCCCGCAACGGCACAACGGGCATCAGTCAGCACAATCACCCGCACTGCACTCTGCCACTCACACTCATTCTCATCCTCACACCTCACACCTCACAGGTACTGCGTACTCCCTCATCTTAGTCAATGACTTACTCAGTCGTCAATGTACCTGTCACGATGCTGTAGTCAGAAACGTCTCAAGACTCGCGATCAAGACTCATGATAACCAAAACAACTAGAGGACAGAGTTGCAATTTGGCACAAGACCTCCCAAGAACACTGCCCCAATGCCAAATGTCCTCTTCTCCCCCTGCCAAGCTATCATTCTGAACCCGGCCCGCCTCGCAAGCTCGGCCATGCCACGCTCAAGAGCTAAAATACTGCAAAAAATGCCCCTAAAGTCTCTGCCTCTCTCATCTCAGTCTCTCCCTTCCAAGTTCAGGCTTGTTCATCCCCCAGTAATTTGCATCTTGGCCCGGGCAAGCCAAGCTATCCATTTCTTTTACCGCTTGCCAATGCTTGAGCCGATGTCAAGTTTGCGCTTGGCTAGGAGCTGCTTTTCTGGTTGCGACTTTGTATCCACCCACGTGCCGCCTTATGGATTCGCGGGTGTGAGGCCTCTGGAAGTCTGAATACCATGTATCCTGGCATGCATTTGTACATCACACGTAGGCTTACACAAGTGGGATGCATAACTGACTATGACATGACGCATCGATGTGAAGCCATCATCATCTTCACTCACTCAATGAGAAACTTCCTCACGTGCTACCGTGCTACCCCAATGACTTCATACTTACAGCAGCTGTTCTCAAGGCCCATCATCTGTTGTCCCTGGTCTAGGACAGAAAAAGGGTTCGAGCGGTTCGCGTGGGCATAATCGTGTGCGTGTGCGCCAACTACATGGGATTGAAATGGCACAAACCCTTCTCAGGAAAGCTTCACGGGAATATCTTGACACGGCCGTCAAAGGGCTAGCTAGCCGTGCCATTAATGCCGTCTCAACTCTGGCCTCTGGATGCTCCTCAAAGGTTTATCAGAGCTATGGGTATGAGTGCAAGCTCAAACCCGATGATCCTCGGGTCCTCAGTCTTCATCTCGATGTAAGATAGCGTAGCAAGAGTATTTAGCACTATTCGCTGCTGCGTCGGCAGAAGACGTAACACCCCGAGGATCGCGTCAGCAATTCCGTCTCTTATTCGCGGTCAAACTTTCACCTGATCTTGGTCAAGGATGGATGGCTTGACCATTCGCTCTATGTGAGCATTCTCGATATTGAACAACAGCTGGCCCGAGGCGATGTGGTGCAAGATTTGTTCACCATCCATTGGAGTCGTGGATTTTATCACCAGACAAAGCCCTATCCTCAATGATTTTTTTTGCTGGCGTTAAGATTGCGAGCCTAGGAAGAATACATTCATAGCCAGAAATGGCTGCCGTCAGGTCTTCGAAAGGAGTACGGAAACCCTCACCGGTGCCAAGTAAAGGCTCATTACCACTGGACTCTTCCGTCATAGGCAGAAGATATGATCTAGTGAGGTAATTGACATTTAGACTTGCTCATTTGCTCTCCTAGAATGTCTCGATATGAATCAAGTATACATGTTCTGAAGACTTGAGACCACCTTTCGAGTCCATGTCCCAACCATCGTTCCCATGAAGCAACGTGTCACTCAAGGAAAGTTGCCGGTGCCGGCCCCATCATTGAAGCTTAACATGTGCAGGCAAAACCATGTAAATGCTTCTACCTAGCCACATGATGACAGGAAGACTAATCCTTGGGGCCGTAGGGCTTACACACATGCCAAAGGTCCAATGCACAACGCCGGCGCCGAGACCTAGACGGCGTAGCCCGAGCCACCGGAACCCTCGCCGGCCAACCACGCATCGCCCACGGCGCCTAGCGCCGCCGTCTCCCACGTTTCTTCACGAATCCCGCAGCCGCCAATAACACACCTCTCGTCTGTCTGCCGTCGCGTGCCTCGGCTCTTGCGTCGATCACGGAAAGATTACTATTCCTCACAGGATGGCGCAATGTCACTGACTTACTTAAAACCATGGGAAGTCGCAACTGTTCGCGACCAGATTTCATTCAAGAGCTCTCGCTCGGTATTATTCATTGGCGCACGCCTTGCTACACGGATAGTATATTCTCATGACGCTGGGCACCTTGTCCCTTGAATCCCACAAAATCCCGCTGGAGATTCTCATGGTCTCTTTCATCAATCATAAAGCACGCTGATCCACCCACAAAATATCCCTTAGTAAGTATAGCGGAAACCAGGCTGAGCACCCTCCTACACATTCGGGTTAGCAATCGATCCTAATTCAAGAAGAGTCTTGTGGGAAACACTTACATCGTCAGCCTCAAGCTCCTTCTCGCCCCTGTCGGCCTTCTTGTTCTTGAAGTAGGCGTCCACAGTCAACAAGCTGACCAAAATGCACGTCAACAAGCTGCACGCAATGCAGGCGTACATGCCCGGGCGGTAGTGCGGCTTATCCTGCTCACGGAAGAGCAAGCTGCCGGCAATACCTCCGATGCCACCGAACGAGACGAGAGTCGCACTGCAGAAAGCTCGCTTCCACTGGCCACGGATGTTGTTTGCCTGGTACGCCATCACAGCGGGGACGTTGGAGTTGGCACCGGCCGTGGTCAGGAAGACGCCAAAGTAGCGCACCGCCGCGCTGGAGTGGAAACCCATGATGGGAAGACCAACGATGCAGAAGAGCATGTTGATGAGAATGACGGGGCCACGGAACTTCATTCTGTCACCCAGCCACGCGGTCGCGAACATGACGATACCGGCAAAGGCGTAAGGCGGCGCTACAAGGCACTGCGCGGCACCAACATCGAAGCCCATGTTGACCTGCAAGATGATGGGCAAGAAGTATGCAAGCGCGTACGAGACGGTGGTGGTGTTGAAGAAGATCATGGCGTAGGCCCAGATTCTCCAGTCGCCGCCGGCACCGAGGAATCTCTTGAGGTTGAAGGCGGGAATGTGGGCGTCACCGCGATCACGGTTCACGCGCGCGACGATCCAGGCGCGCTCGCGCTCGCCGAGGAAGTTCCAGTCCTTGCGCTTCTTGGAGTCGGGGAAGTCGACGAGGAGCCAGTAGCCTGCGAGGCCGAGCACGCAGGTGAGGGCACCTTCGATGATGAAGATCCAGCGCCAACCAGTCAGGCCCTGTTGGCCGTTGAGCTGCATCAGACCGAAAGCGAGAATACCGGAGAAGGCGGAAGCGACGCAGCCGAGAAGGTAGAAGACGGAGTACCGCTTTCCGACCTCGTCTGTCGAGGGTCAGAAGTCTGGTCGTTGAGGCAGCCTGAGCCTGAGAGGGGGGACTTACATCTGGTGTACCATGTGCTGAGAAGATAGACACAGCTGGGGAAGAAACCGGCCTCGAGGACACCCAGAAGAATTCTGCATGCATACAAGTGTGTGTACTTTGCCGAGAAACCCATACCAATCATCACAGCACCCCACAAGAGGGTGAGTCCACCAAGATGAAGACGAGGTCCAATCTTGCGAACAATGATGGTCGAGGGCGGCTGGAAGATAATGTACGGAATGAAGAAGAGGAGGGAAGCAATGCTCTGTTGAAGTGGATGGTCAGCTATCCACCCTCATCGGCCACACGCACACACGCAGTCATCGAGTTCAACTCACGTATCGGTTGTCGAGATAGAGACCCAATTCCTTGGTCATGCCTGCAATGGCGGCCGCAGACAAGTTGGTACGATCCATCAATGACACGCAGTACATGGCACCGACGGTGACGACGAGTCTTCGGTCGACTCGGCGAATGATCTTGCGCTGCTCCTCAGCAGTGAAGCCATGGTCAATGTCGAGATCACGAGAGTCGTTGATGGAGCTGGTTCTGATGTGGTCGCTGTGCTCGAAGCCTGCCTTCTCGGGGTCTGAGACGGGACGATCCATGTTGGGCGTTTGTGTCGTCGATCGAAGCTCGTTGTGAATGAGTCGTCGAAGAAGTGAAAGACGAGGGACTGGTGTCGACGGCGCACAGAGACTGCAGATTGTGCGTCACTTATTGAGTTTGACCAAGGGAGGGGGGTCAGTCGAGAAAGAGGTCTGGGCCTTCTAATCAACGCCGACGCAGGACTGAGGAATGCCGTTCGAATAAGGATGTGGAACAAACAACCCAAAGTCAAGAGGGGAAACTCTGGAGGTTATCTACTCAAGAAACACAAAGATCCTGAGAGTAGCATCGGATGACACGACGATTCGATAGCGATACGCACACAGCCTTTTTGTATCCGTTCGGGTCCAGCCCCAGTTCCCCGCGAAAAGACAGCAAGTCGACGACGACTACAACCCCCTTCTTTTCACC